AAAATGAAAAAGCAGCAAACTTGCAGATATTGAGATTATCCAGTCTGATAAGCAGAAAGAATTAAGAAAAATAAGCAGAGACTAAGAAACCTGTGGGACACCATCAAATGGACCAATGTATGTAAATGGGAACCCCAAAAGGAGAGGAGAGAGGCAGGGGAGTAGAAAAAATAGTTTAAAAAATACTGGCCACAAATTCCCCAAACTTGATGAAAGATATGAATTTATACATACAAAAAATCCATATATTTTAAGTGGGGTATACTCAAAATGATCCACACTGAGACACATTATAACCCAACTGTCAAAAGACAAAGAGAATCTTGCCTGGCTGGTATGACTCAGCAGTAGAGCGTTGGCCCATGGACCAATGAGTCGTGGTTCAATTCCGGGCAAGGGCATGTACCTTGGTTGCAGCCTGCCCTGTTCGGGGTCATGCAGGAGGCAACCAGTCAATGTTTCTCTCTCTTTCCCTCCCACTCTATCTGAAGATAAATAGAAAAATGTCTTTGGGTGAAGATTAAAAACAAAAAAAAGACAAAGAGAACCTTGAAAGCAGTTAGAGAGGAGTGACTTGTCTAAACAAAGGATCTTCAATATGATTAATAGCCAATTTCTCATCAGAAACCAAGAAAGCCAGAGGCAGGAAGGTGATATATTTATTATTATTATTATTATTTTTTATCCTTACCCGAGGACATTTTTCCATTTTTTGTTCAGATAGAGTGGGAAGGAGAGAGAGAGAGAAACATGGACGTGAAAGGGACACATCAAGTGGCTGCCACCCGCACAACCAACCAGGGCCGGGGACAAACTGCAACCGAGGTACGTGCCCTTAGCGGGAACTGAACCCGGGTCTCTCTGGACCGCAGGCCGACGCTCTAACCGCTGAGCCAAACCGGCCAGGGCTGGAGGGTGATATATTTAAAGTAGTGAAAGAAAAGTAAACTGTCAAACATGAATTCTATATCTGGCAAAACCATCCTTCAAAAATGAAAGACAAACTAAAATATTTAGAGACAAACAAAAGCTGAGGGAGTCTGTCATTTGTCTACTTGCCTTACAAGAAATGCTGAAAGTAGTCAATTAAAATTAAAGGGCACTAGACAGTAACTCAAAGACATATGAAAAATAAAGAAACTTGGTCAAGGTAAACACATAGGCAATTATAAGCAAGATTATTGTTATCTTTGGTTTGTAACTCCTCTTCCCCTCACCCTTTTTGCTATATGATTTAAAGGACAAATGCATAAAACAATTACAAGTCTATGTTAATGGCCACACAGTGTAAAAAGATGTCATTTCTGATAACAATATAAAGAGAGGGATGGAGCTGTATGGGGCAAAGTTTTTATATGCTCTTGAAGCTAAGTTGGTACTAATTCCTACTAGATTGTAAAAATGTTAGATGTTAATTGCAAACCCTAGGGTAACACTAGAAAAGGGTGTATACACAGAAGAGGAAATGAGAAGAGAATCAAAACAGTACCCTGGGGGGGGGTCAATTAAACACAACAGGCAGTAATAGAGGAATCGTGGGGGAAAGATATGACATATTAAAAACAGCAAAATAGCAGAAATAAGTCTTTAAATGGAAATTAATTAAACTGTTCAATTAAAAGGTAGTTAGCAGAATAGGTATTTTTTAAAAGATCAATTTATATACTATCTACAAGAGACTCACTTTATTTATTTATTTTTATTTTTTCTTTTATTGATTTTAGAGAGAGAAGTGAGAGGGAGAGAGAGCTAGAAATATTGATGAGATAGAACATCGATTGGCCACTTCCTGCATGCCCCCCCCCCTCGGGATTGCGCCCACAACCTGGGCATGTGTCCTGACTGGGAATTGAACCAGTGACCTCTTGGTGCGTGGGTTGACTGACGCTCAACCACTGAGCCACACCAGCTGGACAAGAGACTCATTTTAGATACAAAGATACAAATGGGCTGAATGAAAGGACAGAAAAATGTCTTCCATGCAAATGTAACCAAAGAAGAGCTGGGGTGGCTATACTGATATCAGTCAGAATGTACTTTCAGTCGAAAATTGTTACAAGAGACTAAGGACATTATATTTTAATAAAAGGGTCAATCCAAGTGTTACCAACAGCCCACAAAGTTATCTTCAAAGCTGAACCTGGGCAAAGTACATCCAGTCCCTACTCTGACCCCAGAACTTGGCTGGAGGAGCCGGAAATCATGTCACCGGAAGCACGGCAGCCCTCACTGAGGTCCTTGAGGAAGGGGTCCCATGCCCACAGCTCTCTGGGTCCTTGTAAGCACCAGTTGGCCTTGCTACCTGGGCAAGTCTCTCCTCCTAAGACCTGTGTCCTATCTGTATGTGAGGGACTGTCACAAAAGCCTCAGAGCCTTCCCTGACACCCCACTATCACCACAGGCAGGGCAGAAGCCTCCCCCATCCCCAGGCTTCCTCCCACCCCTCCCCACCCCTGGGGACTCCTGCTATCCCAATTCCACTCCTGGGCACCCTTGCCATGTTTCTGAGCCTCCTCCCACTTGAGTCCGGTAACCCCTCTAGGACAGGGAGAAGCCACTTTATCTCTGCATCCCTTGTGCCCAGGCTGGTACAGAGAAGGGGCTCAGTGCCACTCTGCTGGGTGAGCAAGAGAACTCGGCTGGAGGAGGTAGCTTCTGGCATGTTAGGAATCTCCAGGCACCCTCACCCCACTCCTGAGGCTGCCAATAGACTGCCAAATGCCACCTGTGCCTGCTCCTGTGCCACCCCCTGGTGCCCTCCACAGCAGCCCTCCCCAGGTCTCTTCTCCCTGTCTGCTGCCCCCTCACCTGCACGGCTCCCTAGCTTGTGTGGACCTGCCCCTTTAGTCTAAGTTACTTTGTCTGGGCTTCAGTTTCTTCACCTGTGATATGGCACGAAGATCCCTACCTCACAGCCCTATGGCAACAAAATGAGATCATGTATGGAGAGTACCTAAGGACCAATGCGGATGCTGCTTTTGAAGAATTGGGACTCTCAACAAATGAAAGTTAAGTCCATCTTCGTGAAAGTGTTCCCTGAGCCTGGCACCCTGTGGGGCTCCGAAAGGCTGGCAGGGAGGGACCAGGACGGGTGAATCTCTGTCAGTGATATGTCCCAACAGGGGACACTCTCCACATGGAACAGAACCCTCATGTCCTTTGAGGCTTCCTGAGATTTTCATCCCAGATAAAGTGAGAGGGAAAAGATGGAGAGCCCTTGCACACAGGAGCACCACTGGTAGGACTGTATTGGTCGCCGTGGGCAGGGCGGCTCACACGGTGTATGCGCTAAGCCATTTCCTTCTCCACCTCCCTTAAAGTCGGTCCCATTGCCCACCCGAGCCCCTCGGCCGAATGAGGGCTTAGTGACAATCATTCATGCAGTCAGCAAAAAGCTCCATGGTGACCCGGCAGGTGCCCAGGCTGAGGAGGCAGTGGGGAGCAGGGCAAAGGCTGTCCCCCATTTCTGGGCTTACCCGGAGGCCCCAGGAGGTGAGGGCGCTCTAACAGGAGCAGAGGGGAAGGCTCCCAAAGGGAGTAGTGACCACCAGGAGGCTTGAGGGGAAGTCAGCCAGGAAACCGGGAGCCAGGTGCTCAGGGGCAGGAGGAGGGGAGGAGGGGCCGACCCAGGAGGCGGGTGAAGGAAGCAGCACTTTGATTGAATCCCTTGTGGCATTTTATCTTCGCAAACAACCATCCCAGGAAAGGAGGGTTTTATCCTTGTTGTGCAGATGAGGAAACTGAGGTAGGGAAAGCAGAAGAACACTCCTGAAATCCACCCAAGCAGCCCAGCTGTGTGGGCTCTGCCTGTGGCGCTGTGTAGCTGGCCGGCTCCCCAGAGTTGGAACCATTTCCAGGACCAAAGAATGATCAGAAATGTACTTTCTGTGTGAGGGGTGGGCAAAGCCGGTGTCCACCCACAGATACCGGCTCCCAGCAGAGGCTGCCCACAGGGGGAGGTGGGCCAGTGTTCAGACGGGACAGTCGGCCGAGGTCCCTAAGAGCAAACCCCCTTGGAGGGCTGTGGGTGGCCCAAGCTCTCCCTGTGGGGCTGTGCATGCCCACCCCACCCACCCAGCCCCACCTGCGGCGCAGGCCCTGGCACACAGCAAACACTCAGTGACAGTGACTTTCCCTCTCTTACGGTCCCTGATAGGCCTTTGAACAGACTCTCAGGCCAGGGGACCAAGGGGCATCAGAGAGGGTCTTTCTTGTCCAGTCCCAGGACAAAAGATTGTCCCGATTCTGCCCTGATGCCTGCCTTCTCGCATACACAGCACGCACGCTCACACAAAAGCACGCAGCCTCAGAACAGCCGCCCATTGGCCTCTGATGGTCCCAGAGCACACACTCCTACCAGCCCTAAGGCCTGGTGCCAGGCCCACCTGGCTCGGGGCCCACATTCCTGGCTCTGGAAAGCAGGAGCTCATTAGAGCCTCGGGCTGATCACGGGGAAGGGCTAGGGGTCAGGGGCCACTGCAGCTCTAGGAAGGAAGTGGGGCTGAAGGACCCAGCCAGAGACAGAGCCTCTGCTTCTTCCCCATATTACCCCAGGGACTCCAGCTCGGCTACGGCATCCCCAACTCACTGCTCCCCAGTCAGGCTCAAGGTCATTCCTAGTCTGGCATCAGTAAACCTGCCAAGTTCCTATTCCCTTTTCCCAAGGGCTTTCCCCCATGTGGGCCTTCGCACACGCTGTTCCACTGCCTGGAATGCCTGCAAATAAATGACTTCTACCCCGCGGAGTGAGTGCAGGGAGAAAGGGAAATCCCAACAGACACATCAGAGGGAGTAGTTCTAGACTGTGTCTGGAACAGTCAGGGGAAGTTTCACAGGTGGGTTTTGAAGCATAGATAGGAGTTTTCTGAAAGAAAGAATTGGGAAGGGTGTTCCACAGTTAAGCATGTGGATGAGAGAATATGGGATGGGGTAGGATGAGCCACCGACAGGCTACTCCTGCACAGAAAGATGAAGGCCAGTGTGGTGCAGAGAACACTCACCTGCTGAAGAATCACCATTGTCCTTTGTCAGACACTCCTGTGGCACACCTGGCCAGACACGCTTCTGCAGGGGGAGAGACCATGTCAAGCTTCTGAGCAGGCAGCTCTGGCAGCCTTGCACCTGGCAGGGGCCACCTGGGCTCCTCCCAAAGCCACAGCTGCTCCTGCCTCTGGGGAACCTTCCCTGGGTTCTGTCCCTCTGGTTGCAGCCTAGCCTGTGTGACCTGAGCCTCAGCCACCATCACCAGCTCCATTGCCCAGAGAAGCTGAGCTCCTCTCGGGGTCACTGTTACTCAGAGATTCCAAAGGGCTCCTAGGAAGTAGCAAGTCTACCCCCCTTACCCAGACATATGGGCAACGGGGCCCCGAGAGGGACCAAGACTTGCCTAAGTTTACATAGCAGGACAGGGCAAGTTCAGGACAAGGGCTTGGTCTCAGGTCCCCCAGCCTCCAGCTGCCCCAGAAGTGTGGGTGACAGGGACAGATGGCCCAAGGGGAGGGCCATGGGCTGAGCCTGCCTAAACTCTCCACAGCACCCACTGCATCGGGACAGAGGCTCCCCGGCCTGGCTTGTCAGGCCCAGCACTGTGGCTCCTGCTGGCGTCTAGTCTGCCTCTCGCTGCTCTCCTCCTTCCCCGGCCCTGTGCTCGGACTGACCGTCCTCGGACTGACCGTCCTCGGCACTCACTGTTCCTGAAGCGAGCCAGCCCTTTGCATACCTCCTGGCCTTTGCGTAGACTGGCTCCTCCACCTGGAATTCTGACTCGTAAATTCCCACCTACGCTCAGTTCAGATGTTACCTCCTCTGGGAAGCCTTCGCTGACCACCCCCAGGCTGCTGAGAGTCCTGATGTTTCCCTCTATCCAGCCCTGATTATATGTATTATGTTATCTGGTCGGGGCTGTCCCTATCCCTGACCCCAAAGTCAGGGAATTGATCCCGGGCAGGGCGTGGGGTTCATCCACCACCGCACACAGCACGGGCCAGGCCTGGAGAGACTCGGGAAGGACGTGGGACTGAGTGTGGTGACTCAAGGCAACCCAGCCCACAGCCCCTGGCACGAGGCCCTCCAGCCCCCCACCTGCCCCCCAGGATGAGCATCAATTTTTCACAAGGTCCATTCAGAGGCACTGGGGCATTTGATCCTCTGCCCATAACACTGCCTGACACCTGAGCCCTGACCCCTGTCCTGGAGCTCAGGGCTACAGCGGCACACAGCCCTCCCGGACCCTGCACCAGGCCTGGGTGTCCGCGGGGAAGGGAATTCAGCGAGGGCCGCCAGGCAGCCACCACGGGGAGCTGTGTCTGAAGAGGAAGCCTGGCCATCATGCCGGCATCCTGAGCCAGCATGAGCCACAGAGCCAGGGGGCAGAACCCGGGTTTTCATTAAGACTCGGGGCCTTGGGTGAGGGCATACAATTTAAGGACTACCCATAAGAAAAAAACTGTAAAATTGACATTTTTTTTCCCCTAAAAAGAAAAGAACTAGTCCATGTTCAAGTTAATTGTTTTGCAACTTGAGAACAGGGAACACAGAACTGCTTTTGTATTTCTCTGTCGCCCCTGGTTTACTTCATCCCCACAGCAACCCTGGCTGGTGAGGCTGTATATTCCCATTTCAAAGATGGGAACTCGGAAGCACAGAGGAAGCAAGCGACCTATCTGAGGAGACAGAGAAAGAGATAAGTGTTGGAGAAAGGCCAAAGGAGACGCAACAGGGACAGAGGTCTCTCTCTCTGTCTCTCTCTCTCTTTCTGTGTGTGTGTGTGTCTCTCTCTCTGTCTCTGTGTGTGTGTGTGTGTGTGTCTGTCTGTCTGCCTCTCTCTCTCTCCCCCATCCCAGCACAGCTACTCCCTGCCCCAGCCCTGGTCAGAGACAAGTCAGTGAACACCATGCCCCTCGGCTCTTCCCATGTCCAGGATACAGGCTCCATCTTTCCAGGCTCAGGACAGTTTCATCGGATGGCTGCTATGGCTGAGCCCCCAAAGGTGGCAGGAGGCCCAGACCAGGAGCAAATGACTGTGGTCACAGGGGCTCCAGGGTGGCCCAAGCCCATGACTCCCCAGGAAGTCCAGCAAACCTTCTCCCAGTGCCTAGGACAGGGATAGCCACGCTTACCTGAGTCCCAGCTGCCCACTCTCACTGCCCACCAGCCCGGGTGCAGCCACCACCTGCCGGAGGGCCCGGGAGGCTGGGGTCAGGGTCCGGGACAATCTGTAGACACACGTCCTCTCTTGCTCTGTCTTGCTCCAAAGCTCGCTCTGGGGGTGTCTCTGGGTCTTTCAGTTTCTCACGGTGTGACTCTCTTTGTCCACTCAGTCTTCCTGCCCAGGTCAGCTGTCCAGCGGCCCTGCTGCCTCTCATCCCCACCCCAGAGCCTTCCCCCAGGAGGCGGAGTCGGAGGGGCCTCCAAGGTCTGGGTGCCATGACATCAGCGTGGGGGCCGGGCCGGGCTGCCCAGGGCTCCGTGCAGAGCTCTGGCTGCCCAGAGGGAGCAGGGCACTGGGGTCTCTCAGCCGCAGCGTGGGACCCGGGCTGGGGCCGCGCATCGGGCCTCAGCGACTCCTGTCATTTGCAGTCACTCCACCCACTCTCTCAGCACCTGGCAGGAAACCCTGATCCTGACTTGGTCACTGATTTGCTGAGTCTCGGTCCCTGCCGCCCGCCACCAGGCCTGTTTCTCCTCCGCAAAGGGCTGAGACTGAGAGGAAAGGACCGGGCAGGGCAGAATACTGCCAAGCCCCCGTTCTAACCCGTTCTCCCTAGTCCCTGTCACACACCACGGCTGGCCCAGGCCACTCCCATTGGCTCCCCTCAGGTGTGTCCCCCAGAAGCTCCCCACTTCACCACTGCCCCACAACCTGCTGGGGAGCAGGAGGAGGAGGGCTGGAAACCTTCTCAGACCAGCTGAGTTGGAGCATCCCTGCACATGGCAGGGACACACACGGAGTCAAGTGAAAGGGGTGATTTTTAAACAAGGAGGAGCAAACAGGATGCTTGATATTGCTGCCGGGCAGACAGTAACACCGAGGACTCCGGCTGAGCCGGGCACTTCCTTGTCCCCACCCTTTGCCTACAGCCTCCCTGGCAGCTGCCCCATCCGTGTGGACCTCTTCAGGGGCAGCTCTAGGCCTGGGCGGAGAGAGGCGCTCTTTGGATCCTCAGCCCCTGTCACTAGGGCAGGGAAGGGACCACTCCAAAGGATGGAGTGCCCATCCCCCAGGACCCAGTGGTTCCAGGGCGCCACCTGCTGGGCACAGGCATGGCTGCACGATGGCACCCCCTTGAGAGCAAGGCTGAGCACCTGGCTTTGCCTGGAGACTAGGCACGGGAGGGGGCGTCACTCAGCCTCTGCAGAGGCCAGGGCTCCCTCTGACCCTACAGTCCTGACCCCTGAAGGCTCCTCGATGTGGGGTGTGCTTGGCCAGGTGGCATTCCCTGTCCCCGCGCTTGCTGGAGACAGGTACCTACCACTCCCCCAGTCACCTCTACGGGCCAGGCTGGCAGTCACGTCGTGTCAGCCCTACACAGATGGGGACACTGAGCCCCTGAGAGAAACATGGTGCCCCAGGCAGAATGCAGGTCTGAGCTGTGAGGGAAGGGTGAGGAGTGGGGAGCTGGGGGGCATGTGGTGACCTCCAGACGCCAGAACAGCCACAGGATACTCAGCACCTGTGTGGGGCCAGGCTCTGCGCCAAGGTGGGCGCAGACCTCATAATGTCCTTTTCTCATGGTCCTGTGGGGAAATCTAGGCATTGGCCTTAATCCATGTTCTTCTCACTCGCTACCCCAACCCAGTCATTGAGTTCTGTCCACTCTGCCTCCACAGTCTATCCTGTTTCCCCCCACCACCACCCTTGGCGTCTTGGACCAAGCTGCTCACACTGGTCTCCCCACATCCACCTGCACCCCACCAGCTCATCTCTGTCCGCAGCCTTCAGCTCACAACTGGACCAGAGCCGGGCCTTCCTTCCCCGAGCAGGCTCCAACAGCCCCGGTAACTCCCTCACCGCCTTACCAGTAATCATCTGCAAGACATTTGCACAGACTGCCCCACAGCAGGGACTGGGGCTGGTACCCTGCATCCCTCGTGCCTAGGGTCAAGGCCAGCCGAGGGAATACCTGAACGATGCCAATGGTCTCAGCTCACAGACCCAATGGGCAGGCAGCAGGGTCCAGCCTCAGCAATACCGTCCAAGTTCTCCCTCACACTGTCTATCAGAGGACAGTCACCTGGACCTGGGAAATATTCCCTCCATTATCCCTAACCCTGAGAGGGACAGACAGACACAAGGAAGTCTTTCTGGGTTTGTGGTAATGTTTATTCTGAGAACAAAATGGGTCTCCGTGAGGCCTGCCCGTCTGCAAACAGGGACTGGGCCCCGGGACTGAAGGGTGTGCACCAGCAGCTCGGAGCTGTTCTCCCCCCCCACCCTCCTGCCGCAGCCTGCAAGAGCTCCAACCTCACCTGCCCCACCCCTCGGGTCCCCTGGGGACAGGGGTGTCTGTACATCCAGGATCCAGCCTGGCCCACACAAAGGGGCAGGAAGCACGGGCAGGGCTGCTGAACAAGTTGGGGCGGGGGCAGCCCTAGGACTGAACCCACAGGTCTGCCGTTGGTCCTGGTTCACCCCAAGGCCCCGGTGGACGTGGCTGAGAAAGGACCCACACGTCGGCCCCAGAGGCCCCAAGACGGCATATCCAGCCTCGTCTCTCCCCCAGCCCCACTCAGAAGTGTGCATTTGAAATAGACATTGGAGAGTGATTACATGAGAGTGTACAGCGCGCACGCATACGGAGATACATAGAGAAAGGGTATGGTTTTGCCCTTATTCAGCACTTGCTAGTAAGAGTGCTGACAAACAGGAATCATTGGCCCCACTTTGCAAAAGGGGGAAATCGAGGCACAGGAGGTTTGAATGATTTGCTCCTGGTCATCGGTAGAGTCCTGGCCCCAGCCCAGGTTCTCGAGAGGAAGCCACAGCTTTTCCAAGAGTCCTCTTGTCCTCCTTGTTGTTCAGTTCCTGGCCCTCACGTGGCCCAGGGCCAGGACACAGGAGCAGAGCCGACCACGGGGTGAGGAGGCCAAGTTCATATCCCAGGACCCCGGCCAGGACACTGGACCAAAGAGCCAGATCTGGAGCCGAAAACTCTGGTTTCCAAAGGAATCCCCAGCAATTCTGGTTCTTGATCCGGCTGGACTTTCCCATTTATGTTGCCTGGTCTGGAGACTGGAAGGGCACAGCGGACCCTACGCGGGTCACCGTGCCAACACAACTGGGGCCGACCTGCAAACCACCCTGGCCTAATCCAGCTCCAGACGGCCTTTGAGAAGGTATGACATCCTGTTCCTCCCCAAGTGGAATCAGAATAAAATCAGAGGGCCACAAGAACGAGTTTAAGAAAAGGGGTTCCCAGGCTGTTTTCCCTTGAAAACCCCTGGTTAGAATGGCGAGTTTTAAAACAATATAAAATGTCGAGGACTAAAAGGAACTTTGGTCCAGGCAGCAAGAAGACAGCGGTGGCCTCCCTGGCTGCGTTTTGGAGGGAATGTTGGTGGAGGGCCTCTGGTCAGGCGATGGATTTACCTGTGTGCTGCCAAGCTAGTAGGTGACCTGGCCTTGACACCAACACCCAGAGCCCTTTCTCCCAGGAAAGCCCTGGTCTTGCAGCAAAGGGGTCCTCAGATATGTGCCTCCCCGTCGGGCCACCATGTCCTTCCCACCTGCCCAGCCCCTGGCCACAAACTGGGCACACTGCTGGCATCAGGGCCATGGAGACAGGAAGACGCCTCCCCTTCCCATCACTGCCAACACTTCTCCAGGGATCTGAAACCAGAGGCTGGGGATGAAATGAGAACGTGGAATGAGAAGGTATCTGCAGGTCCTCTGGGCACAGCCTGAGAGGACCCCAGAGCAGGGGGAGGCCCAGCATCAACGCGTGTCTCCCTGAGCTGTGGGCAGGAGCCCAGATCCTCTGGGGTCTCGTGGGCATCGTTTATTCACTTGGCAAATCTCTGCAGAATAAATGAATGGGTGGTGGGTGGATGGGACTGAAACCAACAGATGCCACCTGCGCATTTCCCAAATTCCAGCCTGAGCAGGGACCCGGCCAGAGCCAAGGTGGCTAGAGAGCCAGGTTTAGGTGACAGAGGAAGCAATGTCTGGGACACTGGGGCGGGCGCCGGAAGAGGGGCAAGAGCGGGGCTTCGGGATGTGGCAGTTCGTGTGTAAACAAGTGACATCTTCTTGGCACTCCGTTGGCAGAGAGCAGGGCCCTGGGAAAACATTCTCAACGGATAGAGTCCCTTAGCTGTGGCGACAGTTGGGGTAAGGAGGGCTATTTTAGATCTCAGCAAGAAGACTCCTCCATGAGAAAGGAATGCGTTGGGTTCTTCAGGACACTGAGGCCCAGAGAGGGGCAGAGACCTCCCAAGGTCACACAGCAAGTCAGTGGAAAAGCTGAGAAAAAGACCCCAGAGTCCTGGCTCCCAGGCTGGTCCCTGGTTGGTGACATGCAGACGGTGGGGGGAACTGTGGGGGCCAGGTGGGTGGGCAGGCCTCAGACGGCCGTGAGGGAGGCGCTGCTGAGGACATGCACAGCAACGGTGCCGGGCAGGTCGCTGGCCTGCCGGCTGTTTCGGTCTCGCAGGTGGAACGTGTGCAGGGCCTGGAGGTCGTCCGGGTCAGCCTTCAAGTGCACCTGGCCCAGGAACTCATCCTTCAGGACTCGGTGTTTCCAGATCTGGGAGGAGACAGAGAATCGTGGGGGGTGCTGGCGGTGGCGGCAGGGCCTTGAACCCCACCAGCATTGCCTCTGCCTCACCATGGACTTTGGGCAAGGCCGTGCCCCCAGAGCCTTGGACTTTCCCTCCTCTGACAAAGCCCTTCCACCTACGAAGTTAGGTCTGTTCCTATTAGCTCTGCTGTTGACCTTGGGTGAACTTGAGAAGTGCTACACCCCCTGTCCTGTTTTCCCCATCTCCAATATGAGGGTATCAGCAGCCCCTAAGGGTCCTGCTGGCCCCAACACCTGTGGGTCTGTGACTGGATCCAGCGTTAGGAAAACCTACAGTGCCTCCCCTGGGGCACCTACATGTTTACTTACAGGTGGTTTCTCACCAGAGAGATGCTGCCGCGGGCCCAGGGGACAGAGGGCTTCCTACTAATATGCTCACAACTCTTGTCCACTGGCCACCTTGGCCTGAGAGCAAGAGGAACCCGGGCACAGGGACCTCGCTTTCCGACCCCTGCCCGCAGGCAGCAGCCACCCCACCACATGCTGCCTCCGTGCAACTCTTCCAGGTGAACAGACCTACAGGGGAATTGAAGGAGCAACTCCCAAGGCTGGGGGGCAGTCGGCAGAGATGACCACTGTCTCTGGTCAGAAGACTAACCCTGCTGGGTTTCAGAATCACACCAGCTAATCTAACTCACCCGCCCCACAGAGGGGACTCTGGGGTTCCAGGAGGGGCAGGCAAGGGAATTCCCAAGGCCACACCATGTCAGGGGCAGAGTGGGGACCGGAACAGAGCATTCCTGGGTCCCGTCAAAGGCTCTGCCACCCAGGCCTCGCCACTCTGAATGGGGAAGTCAGGCTGGGGGCACAGGAGCGGCCCCAGGACAGCGGGCTCACCTGGATAGTGATGGGCTGGCCTGGCTTTTTGCGGTAGAAGATGGCTTTCACGTTGTACTCAGGTGTCGGGGTGCCCTTCTTCACGGCCGAGCGGACTTTGTCCCCCTCGCACTTGATGATCACATAAGAGTTAGCCCCTAGAGAGGTGGAGGGGTGATGGGGTGAGGATGGGGGCTAGGGCAGGACCTGGATGAGACGATATCTGGAACGTGAGGTGCCCTGGGACATGAGCAGAAGCCTGGGCTCATGTATTCAAGAGAAGGCAGACCAGGAGGGGACACACTAGTCATCTCTGGCCTCCAGGCCCTTACATTGGTTCTTTTGTCCAGAGCATCCTTCTGCCCTACTCCATTTCACTAGGCTTCATACTTAACACTTCCTCAGCCTGGAGAAAGGCCTCCTCCTCCAGGAAGTCCTCCCTGAGCCCCCCTCCCAGTTGCCTGTCCCTGCGCCTTATTGCCCCCCCCCCTCACTAGAAGCTGCCCAAGAGTAGGAGGCAGAGTGTTCCTCTCTGCACCCAGGGCTGGGCCTGAGTGGACATCAGGAAAGGTTTGCTCACTCAGTGACTGAGAGCAGGAGAGCTCTGGAGGCTGGGTGTCTACAGCTGGGGAGGGGGCAATCCCCTGGGGGGGGGGCTTTCCTCAAGCGAGCGCACCTGTCGAGGAGTCCTTGAGACCAGCAGCCCCCAGGACATGCACCTGGGTCACCTGCCGGGGGTAGCCGCACAGGGAGCTCCAGCAAGAGTGGGGCGGCTCATCCAGGCACAGCTCCCTGGTACAGGGCAGAGGAGAAAAGGGGGGAGGTCACAGAGCGGGATCAGGAAGGAAGGCAAGGGGGTTCAAGAAGAGGGGAGGGAGAGGAGCAGTCTTTAGTCCAGACATTGCTCGTCCTGGGCAAACCCCCTGGCCTTCCTGCTGTTCCATCCCCACCCAAGGGGACCCCATCCTTCCTTCCTCAAAGGAAAAGTAATTTACTGAGCACCTACTGTGTGCCAAGCCCTCTATTGGGCTGTTACAGGAATTATTTCTAATCCTCACAAAGCATCAGGCTCAGCAGGGAAGGGACTTGCCCACACAGCTGGTGGAGCCTAGGCTGGCAGGACTGAGGTCCACTGGGACCACTATATGAGCTGTCCACCCTGGGACCTGTGCTGCCTACCCTGGTGGGAGGTAGTGTGAGGCCCAAGGGTCTGCACCCCGCAGGGACAGGATGGCTTTAGGCCGACTCTACCACTGGTTGCAAGACCCTGGAAAATATCCCCAACCTCAATTCCCAATTCTGATCCATGAAATGGAGAGGTAGGTCTGCTGGTCTGGGTTCAAGAAAAGCAAACGAGATTTGTAAACTGTGAAGTGTGATGCACATATGAGAAGCTATTCTACTGTGTGGCTGAGGGAGGCTGGGACAAGGGAGCAGGGGAAGGGAGAGGAAGGAGATAGGCGCTGGGGTGGCTGGAGGCCTGGGCTCCATGCCTGGGGCAGATGCTGAGCATCTCTGGGCCTCAGATTCTGGGCCAGCCTGGTGTGCACCTGGGTCCCCCCACACTGGCCTGAGCCAGGCCCTGCGCACCGGCAGTTGGAGGGCACGTCAGTGAAGACTCGGAGCAGGAACTCGCCAGTGTGGCCGGGCTCGAAGGTGGTGGGGATGATGACGTAGCGCCCCGCGGGCTGGTCCGTGCGCAGGAACACGCTGCGCGAGTTGATGTAGATGGAGCTGGCGGCCCGGTGCTGTAGGCTGTGCATGCGGTACTCGCGGTTCTCCTCCACCTGCAGGCCAGGCGGGCTGGTCACTCGGAGCCCCGGCTCCACTCCACCCCAACCCTCTCCCTCACCACCGTGAAAAAGGTGAGACTCCACTCATGTGAAATGCCCAGAACAGGCAAGTCTACAGAGACAAAAGGAGATGAGTTTGCCCAGGCCTGGGGGCGCTGGGCATGGGACTGGCTGACGACGACTCGGCGACGTGGGGATTCTTTTTGGGGTGATGGAAATGTTCTAAAATTGATCATGGTGATGGTTACACAACTCTGAATATACGAACGATCACTGTACACTTTAAATGACTGACTCGTATAGTATGTGAATTCTATCTCAACAAAGCTTGTTAAAGGGGAGGGGACAATAGGAACTTCCCTGATAAGTCTGCGGGGTTTCTGACTATCACAACAGAAGCAAGTGTCACTATGTGCCCAGGTCACAGCAGGTGTCCAGGAAATGACATCGCCAGCTGGTAGGACGTGCTAGACAGTTGCTGGAATAAGTGTTATAAACTACAGTTACATCAGTGAAGGGCAGACACGTCCCGTCAAAGTCTTAACCTATCAGCTCACAATGAATGGACCAACCAATGATACGGGCAAACTGTCATGACATGACCAAGCTTGTCAGATGCCAGGGACTCAACTCGGACCATGCACTGAGCATATCCATGTGGTGTCATTAGGTCCTCGGGTCTGGCAAGCTGACCCTCTGCGCTCAGTGCCATCACACACTGAGTGTCACGATATGTGGAAGGTACTCGGGTCCCAGGCCAGGAGGAGTGGCCCCTGGTGAGCCTGCCTGGCTCTGCCCAGGATGCCTCCTCCCTGTGTCTAGCAAAGCCCCCAATTCAGGGTGACCAGGGCCCTGAGGGAGGGGGCAGCACGGGGCAACCAGCTCCCAGCCTCACCCACCAACAATCCTCCCCTTCCCCAACCACCAAACAGTCCAGGCCTGTGGGTCTGGGGCAGAAGAAATCAGGCTGAGCGCGCCCAGGGGAGTCAATCCCAGGCAGGGTGGGCCTTCTGTGGTTACAGCAACCAAGGCCCATGCCACAGCATGCCCACGGCATCAGCCAATGTGGTCAGGGTGGCAGGGATGATGTCGGTGACCAAGGTGTTCTTCCCTGGTGCAGGTGGCCCAGACTCCCGCTCCCTGCCCTCCTCACCCAGAGCAGACCTCACCTTGTAGATGTCGAAGCCGATGGCCAGGTTTTCACCCTTGCCATCCCGACGGGTGGACTGCTTCGGCCGCTGCTGGGTGCAAATCAGCACTTCATCTTCTGGCTTCTTGACATCGAAGATATACTGCCAGTGGGGCCAAGGAAGAGACACCAGTGAGACCACGCTGACAATGGGCCCGCCAGCTCCCGGAAGCTCACCCCAGAGCCAGGCCCCAGCTCAGCTGTGTGAGCTTGGGCAAGTCACGTCACCTCTCTGAGCCTCAGTCCCTCATCTGCAAAATGGGCCTAAAATGCCTACCCTGCATGAGGGGTGGGAGGACTTGAGGAGGACTTGGGGCTTACATGCAGTCGGAGCTCAATAAAAACACACCAAGCATGAGGACTAAGCAGTTGGCAGAGGCATGACCCAGGAGGCTGCAGGGGACAGGTCCCTGTGGAGGAGCTGACCTGGCCAAGCTCCCCCAGAAGGAGCAGCACTATGTGTGGAAACAAGGGGTTTGACCCCCAGTTCAACCTCTAAATGTCCCTGCAACTCTGGACAAGACACCCAATCCTCAGAGCCTGTTTCCTCCGTTTTACCATCTGTGGGTCAGAGTGTGAGGCTGGGGACCACACAACCACCCAGACACGCCATCCAACCCCCCTGTAGGGACGGTGCCCTGAGGCCCAGAGGGACAGAGCTGTACCCAAGGTGGCGCAGGAGTCCGTGGCAGGACAGTGGCGAGGGCCCCCGCAGATGGTCGAGGGGCAGGATGGGGGTCCCCGAGAATGCTCACCTGTGGGTTCTGGAAGAAGGTGTCCTTGTGGTTGATGCAGCCCCCGCTGCGGTTCTGCCTCGGGTTGTCGTGCCGTGTCCAGGCCCCACGCAGCTGGGCCTCCTCCCACGTCTTGTGGATGCTCAGGTAAGACGTGTTGAGCAGGCGGCACTTGATGATGTCGGTGAAGTATCGGCACACGTCCTCGAAAGTCATCCTGCGCGTGGCAAGGGGGTGAGCCAGGCAGGTCCCCTGGCCGGCCCACCACTGCTCGCCCTGCATTCTCTGACCACGACTCACACAACAGCGAGCCTGGACATGGCACCACACGGACCCACCACGCCTCTTTCGGCCTCAGTTTCCTGGTTTGTAAATTGGAAATGGATCTGACAACAGCTGCCCATCTCAGAGCTAGTGTGGGACTAACTATGCAATAAAAGCATGTTGTACAGCTCCTGGCAGACAGAAGCAGTCGCAAAGGCTGGCTGTTACAATGATTGAGAGTACGAAGACCTAATATGTACAGCCCTCTACAGTTTATAAAGCATGTTTCCATCTATCATCTTCCATGGCTGTTGTAAGGCCTGAATAAACTGGGTTGGGAACCCCTTGGTAAGCATGCTGCAGTGGCCAGGATGTTGCCATAGTTACTGCATGCTGCACACACCTCCAGGAGCCTGAGTGGGGGAGGGGAAAGTGCCCATCCCCCTTCAAGAGTGCACACATGAGAACATGCACATATATGCATCATATATGAACATATATGAGAAAAGCCTTAGGCAGAAACCCCTTACACTAATGAGGAGTTTCTAGTACTATGTTTTAACTCAACTGAGCCCTGAGCCAGACTGGGCACAGTGGATCTCATCCACAGGAGCCCAGACCAGAGGACCAGGGGTTCCCCTGATACCTGCAGGGGGTTGCTAACTGGGGTACCAAGGTCACTGCCATCTGTCTCTGGGCCTGCCTGGGGCCCTCACAGCATCCACCACACACAGGGTGCCCAGTACCCTCCAGGAAGTGGCTGAGTCTCTGAATCAAGTGTCCTCCTGAAGAATGGAACTGAGCCCGGCAGAGTCAGGACTAAATGCAGGCTGAATGAATGCAGGACGAGTGAATGCAAGATGAACAAATGAATGCAGGAATTAATGAATGAATGCAGGATTCAATGGGCTCTTCAAGTGATGCTGTGGCCATCTTCCCAGCCTACCCTCACCCATATACCTCCCTAATCTTACTCTTCCTAAACCCAAGTGTGCACTCTGGGCTCTGGGCTGGGTCTCTCTGACCACCAACAGCGCCTCTGAGTCTCAACTTAGGAGGCAGCCCCCCAGTGAGGCCTCTCTTCCCTATCTGCTCTGGGCAATCAGGTTGCCAGCCTGCCCCCTGCCCTCTGGTTGATCCCCCTACCGGCTGGCATCCTGAAGGACTCGGCCTGGGTGCCCAAGCAGCCGAGGGCCCCTGAGGCGGGCAGAGGGCACTGTGGGGATGAAAGCGCTGCCCAACTCAGCTGACAGAGCAAGGAAGCGGCTCAGAGGGACGGCATGACTTGCCCAAGGCCACACGGCCAGCTGATGGGGCAGCATTTGCTAGAGCCCTGGCTCCTAGCTCCCCTCAGTCATCCCTGCCCGGCACACAGGAGTCCCCCCTCAGCCCCGGACCTCCACCGGGCAAGAGCACACTCACCAGAACTCGCCGTCATCCTGCACAGTCACACCCATCTTCTCCCGCTCGCTCTTGCTCACCTTCTGCCACTCCTTTGAACTGGAGTGGGAGCACGGGGGAAGGAAAGGCACAGAATTGGCAGAGGGACCCCACCAGGGCCACCCTGGCAAGGGCGAGGAGGATGAGGGACTGCAGCACCTCATGTGGGTGTGGCTGGGGGCAGCGGGGCCATGACCAGCCTCTCGCTAAGAAGCCTGTCTGCCCTTCCCACAGGTAACCTCGCGCTGTCACATGCCGGGGCCTGGAGGTCAGGGAGCAAAGCTGCAGGCTGGGAGACAAGACCCTCAGTGGAGGGGCTCCTTTCCTGGGGGCCTGGTCTCAGTTCACCAGCACAGAGCAGTCACCCCATTCTCACCCTCACCCCTGGTGGCCTCCCTACCTCCTCACTCTCCAGACTGGTCTCCATGTCCCCTGCAGGAATCCGCTCACCCCACCTCCAGGCCTCAGCCCGTGCTGAATCCACCGGCCGGCCCCACTCTAAAGTAAGCCTCCTACTAAATTAATCCAACCCCAACCCCTTCGAGACCCGGCCCAGGGACCAACCTCCTCCAGGAGGCCCACCCTCATCCTTCCCGCACCCCCTTACCAAGCCACCCCACCAACTGCCCAGCCCTGCGCGATGCCTGCACCCCACCCCAGGCCTCACGTGTCGCTCCAGGGCCCGTTCCACTCTCGCTCGCCCCAGGGGTTGCGCAGGCGGATCATGTCCAGCTTCTCGGACTTGAAAAAGGCCAGTAGGCCGTGGCCCAGGCGCACCTTACGCACATCGGTGACGGCATACGCGTGGCCCTTCACCAGGCCACATGCCAGGCGGACCTCCATGTCTGCCTCGGTCACAGCCTGCGGAGGACACCGTTGCTCAGAGGCAGGCCCTTGCAGGCTCCAGCTGGGGCAAGGGGCCACAGCGCCCCCTACAGAATGGGAAGAGAATGGCAGCCCCACACAAAGGGGAAAGCTGGATCCTCTATGCTTAGGGACCGCGCTCTGCCGTTCACAGCCCTTTACAGAGCCTCTGGGAGCAGCAGTGCGGAGTAAGAAGGGGGTTGCGCGCCTCCGGTGTGGCTCAGTGGTTGAGCGTGGACCCATGCACCAAGAGATTCCCAGTTCAATTCCCGGTCAGGGCACATGCCCAGGTTGTGGGCCTGATCCCCAGTGGGGGGCATGCAGGAGGCAGCTAATCAATGTTCTCTAATTGATGTTTCTATCTCTCCCCCTCTCCCTTCCTCTCTCTCTAAAATCAATGAAGAAAAAAAAATTTCTTTTAAAAGAAAGGGACCTGCAGGGGGGTTGTCCCAGCAGGGGGCTGTCCACCACCACTGGCTCAATTTCGCAAGCCAGGTGTTAGAATGTTAGCTTGAAATCAACCATGGTAGGAGTATTTACACCACGTAAATCAACAAATGCTACAAGTCAGGGCTTTTTATTTTTCCAGAGAGCCAGTTTATCAGCACACCACTGGGTCAGCCAGACCTGTGTCCAAATGCTGCCTTCACTGAGCCCCAGCTTTCCCAGCGGAAACATAAGCAGTCAGAGAAACAAGACCTGAAGTGCCCGGGCCTGTGCCGGCCAGCAGCGGGGCTCCCTCCCCTCTCCCAGTCCCCTCATGCCTTGTGATGCCTCAAACCTTTAGCTGTATAGACACCCATCACCCCAATATGAGAGGGCCAGTAAAGGGGGCATTGGTCAAACAGTGTGGGCAAGGCATTTCATAGTGTAGGGGGCTAGGGCAGGGGGCTAGTGGCTTGTGTTGCCCAGCACTGGGGAGGGGCACCCTCCAACTGCTCCCTTTCCCCAAGAGGCTGAGGGTCTGGATTTATGAGCCAACCTGAGCAGGGGCTCTGCCTAGGACGCTAGAGCCGCTCCCACAATATTAAGTTGATAAAGGGAGGGGCCACCTCTGGGGTCAGCCTCTGTGTTCTTACCTTGATGGAGGCGCTAATGAGGCCTCCCCGGCTGTGCACCTTTAACATGCGCTCAAAGAGTGCATTCCTCTTGGCTTCATCATTGGCAAAGTCACCCTCGGCCAGGTCGATGGGCTCGGAAACGCCACCTGTGAAGTCTACTAGTGCATCCGCCGTGTTGCCTCCATCCAGGGCCTGGTAACAGCCCGCCAGCCTGGGGAGCAATGTGCAAAGAATTCCCAGCTAGCCTAAATCTTTCACATTATAGGGGAGATTTTTGAGACTCAGAGAGGTCAAGCAAACTTCTCTGATCACACAGCAGGCCGCAACACAGCAAACATTTGTCCCACTGAGCTACACTGTGTATCACTTAAATTCCCCTCAGCCTTAGCAGCCCCATCTTCAAAAATTGGCTGTCCAGAAATCTATCAATTCTTTTCAAAAGCATTAAAAACACATGTATCTTTTGACACATCAATTCTGGGTGAGTAACATTATTTGTAATAATGTAAAACGAGAAATCACCTAAATGTCTAACAGCGGGGAATTGGTTTTATAACTAATACTGCAGCCTGGATGGTTTGGCTCAGCGGTTAGAGCGTCAGCCTGTGGACCAATGAATTGGGGGTTCGATTCCAGTCAAGGCATGTACCTTGGTTGCGGTTCGTCCCTGGCTCTGGTCCGGGTCATGTGGGAAGCAACCAGTCGCTGTGTCTCTCTCACATTGATGTTTCTCTCTCTCTCCCTCTCACTCTATCTGAAGAAAAATGAAAAATACCCTCGGTGAGGATTAAAAAAAAACTACTGCTGCACCTCTACTCTGGAGCATTCAGCAGCCACCGAACAACGCCCCGCGGAAGGGCTCCTCGGCGGGCAAACGCTGGTGCTGCCTCATTACGTTTGAAAAAGCAATATATAAAAATAAATAAATAAATAAATAAAAATAAAATAAAAAAAAAGAAAAAGCAATACAGCTGGGTTCCAATTATGTTTAAATGCATTCACTTAAAAAACATTAAGCATCTACTGTGTGCAACATGCCAGACGCCAGACACAGCTGTGGCTCCCTATTTAAATGTTAGGAAAAGGGTTGGGGTCTTAAAGGCAGAACACCGAATGTGACTGAGAAGCGGAATGGGATATGTAACAACATTCTATTTATGTAATTTGAAAACAGCAACACAGGTTTTGCAAGGTAACCTACAAATAGAAAAACATGCATCAATAATGTTAAAAGAGTCCTGGCTGGGTGGCTCAGTTAGTTGGAGCATGGTTCCGTGCACCAAAGGGTCAAGGATTTGATTCCCAGTCAGGGTACATACCTGGGTTGTGGGCTCGATCCCTGATCGAGTGCGTACAGGAGGCAACGCGTCAATGTTTCTCTTTCACCTCTCTCTCTCCCTCTCTTCAATCAATAAAAACATCCTCTGGTGAGGATTGAAAAAAACAGTTGCCCCTGGTGGGGGTGGGGGTGGGGTGGAAGAGCAAAGGGAGGAAATGGAGATAGGAATAGGCAGAGGTGGGGCCTTGGGGGGACAATGGCTGTGGACAGTGTTCCTGAACAAGGAAGAAGCCTGATGATCTCAGATGACCCAAAACGGGGAAGAGGAGAGGAGAGAGCTGGAAGAATAGGAAGTACAGGACACTTGTGTTGTCTTCTGCATGGTTTTCTTGTATTTTCTGGATTTGCTATAACAGACATGCATTCCTTTTCCAATTTACAAAGTAAATCAGTGACAAAACAAGTGGACATAAACGGTGCAGCCACTGTGAAAAACAGTTTGGTGGTTACTAAATAATGTAAACACAGAACCACATGGCCCAGCAATTCCCTGCCAGGCATGTATTCCAAAGAACTGAAAGCAGACTCAGTGTTTACAACGGCATTATTCACAACGGCCGGCAGGGGGAGCCACCCAAGCGTCCATCGACAGAACAACGAATAAATAGTGCGGCACATACATGCCAGGGAACACTATTCAGCCACAAAGGGGAATGAAATTCTGATATATGCTACCACATGGCTGGACCTTGAAAACATTATGCTAAGTGACATTAAGCCAGACGCAGAAGGACAAATATTGTATGATTCCACGTACATGAGCCACCCAGCACAGGCAGATTCATAGAGACAGAAAGAGAGCAGAGATTCCAAGAGGTTGGGGAAAGAGTAGAAGGGGGAGGTACTGTTTAGTGGACACAGAATTTCGGTTGGGGATGATGAAAAGGCTGGGTATAGACAGTGGTGATGGGCACACAGCATTGTGAATGTAGCTAATGCCACTGAATCATGCACTTAAAGATGATTAGCATGGCCCTGGCCAGTGTGGCTCAACGGTTAGAGCATCGGCCCACGGACAGATGAGTCTCGGGTTTGATTCCGGCCAAAGGCACGTACCTCAGTTGCGCTATGTCCACAGCCCTGGTCAGTCATGCGGGAGGCAACCAATTGATGTGGCTCTATCACATCGATGTTTCTCTCTCTCTCTCCCTCCCTCCTTCCCACTCTATCTGTTGATAAATAGAAAAGTATCCTCAAGTGAGGAATAAAAAATAAAATGATTAAAATGATAAGTATTATATTTGGCCACAATAAAAGAAAACTGTTATTTTAAAACAAAACAAAGATGAGCAAGCCAGTGATGGCTCTGGGAGGTGGAAGGAGAGGGACCTGCACCAAGGACCGGGGAGACTCAGTGACCAACAGGGGGCAGGCTTTGCTCTTTTATTTTAGGATTAAAAATGGAATCATTTAATGGCTGTTTTCTAGGGATTAAAAATTTTTTTTTTTAATTTATTGATCTCTTAGAGAAAGAGGAAGGGGGTGAGAGAGAGAGAAACATCAATTTGCTGTGCCTTCGTGTATCAGGACGACGCTCTAACCAGCTGAGTACCCGACAAGGGCCTCTAGGGAGTTTCTCTTCCTCTCTCCGTCTCTGTCTCTGTCTCTCTCTCACATACACACACAGTTGGGGAAAGAGTAGAAGGGGGAGGTACTGTTTAGTGGACACAGAATTTCGGTTGGGGATGATGAAAAGGCTGGATATAGACAGTGGTGGTGGGTACACAGCATTGTGAATGACCGACAAATGGGCCTGGGAGGAGGAACCAGGCTCCCACAGAGCTGGTGGCTGGTCTCTGCCCCTCTGGCCCTCCTACCCCAGGCCTGCCCCTATTCTGGGCAGGTCGCTCTGCCCCAACAGTTTAACGAACCCTTGCTCATGCTCATGCTGGGGACCAGGCCTGGCCCAGAGCAGGAGGAGGTGGTCAGCAGAGGCAGAATGAGTGCAGGGACAGTCAGCGAGGGAGGTGGCAGCCCGGTGAGCAGGGAAGGCTCCACAGCCAGCCCCGACGCAGAGATACCACATCTGCAAGGCCTCCAGGGACGGCTGTGCAGCCTGGAGCTTTGGGAAAGAACCACTGACCCGAATGTGAGTGCCAGCCCTGCCCCCAGCTACCGGCAGGAAACTGTCCGGGGCCTCAGTCTTCTCAGACATGAGTGGGAGTAACCGTTCCTCCCTGTGTGGGTTGGCTGTGGGGACTTGACAACAAGGTAGCCAGAGGACCTTCAGTCCAGGCCTCCCCCCACCCAGGATACGCTCAGCTGGCCAGGCGCTGAGCGGGGCTCCGAGCACTCTGTGTGACTTTGCACCAGCCCCTGACCTCTCTGTGCAGGGAGCCCTGGCTAAAGGAACACCCATGTGGGCCCCATCAGCCGTGCCACCCCCGCACGGCCACCTGCCCGCCTGCCCAGTGCCGGCACCTACTTGGCATAGGCCTTCTCCACCAGGGCACACCAGAACTCATTGAGGGAGTTGGAGTGGCAGTAGATGAGCTGGTTGTTGACCGTGGGCAGCCGGTCGTCGATGACCACGTCCACCCACTCCCCAAAGCGCCAGAAGTGGAAGTGGAAGATGCCCGCATAGGCCTCAGGCTTCTCGGGGTCCCACTCCTGCTCCTTCCAGTTTGGGATGACCTGGATGTGGGAGGACAGGAGGGGACACATTGAGGTCACATCTGGCTTCCGGAGGAAATAGGGAGGGGCATACTTCCAGGGAATCGACGTGGAGAGAAATACTGGGTTTGATTCCCGTGTCTGCCATGAACAGCGTGGGACTTGGGCAAATCCTTCTCATCTCTGGGCCTCAGTTTCCCATCTCTGCAATGGTTGGAGGCTTCCTGGGTCTCCCTCCAGCTCTGTCATTCTAATGTCCCATGAGCTTCCCCTCCCTGCCCTTCCTCATGCCTCCTTCTGCTTCTTTCACCCTCAGAAATACATCTTATCCATCTCAGCTCCTGCCGGTGATGGGGCCAATCTCCCCCTACCCCAGCCTGAGACAGAAGCTGGAACCACACTGGCCTCCTCCCTCTCTCCGTCCCATCAGGCCAATCCTAGCTCCCACATTCTGCTAAAACCCGTTTCCCGTCCTTTCCCTGGCACCTTCCTGGCCGTCCCCCATCCCCTTGCCCTGGGACACTGTCAGCGTCAGCAGCCACACTGCCTTCATCCCACACAGCAGAGTGAATTTTGTGGTCACATTTCCCTGGAAAATAGGTTCAAACACTTAAGACGCTCTGCCCTCCACTACTCCTAGGCTGGTTTCTCTACTGAACCCCCAACCCCCCGCCCCGCTCCCTGCTCAGGCTCTTTCTCTGGTCAGGACTCCGCATCTGTTCTTCCTCCAACTGACTCTCACTTGTCCTTTAGGGTCCTCCCTCCTCCAGGAAGCCCACCTTGACTCTTCAGATTAGACCAGGACCCCCGTACATCAGTCTCATGGCCTCTGGTACTTCTCTGAGATGTTTATTCCAGTTACAATTAAACAAGTGTGACTGTGTGAACAATTGTGATACTGTCGGAATGTCAGCTCTCTGAAAGCAGGGACACGTCGCGCTTGGTCACTGCTATCCCCCAGCACCTAGCCAGAGCTTGGCCCAAAGAGGGTGCTTAATAAACGTGTGTTGACTGAACGAGTAAATTCACAGGCATTACATGGGCCTCCACCAACAATGATTATTATGGAGCATCTTGGAAATGGCAGAAAGTAAGCCCAGGACTGCCATGGGCCATGCCAGTTTAATTCACGCAATGACCCCGTGAGTACATTACTGTTATCCATCCCCACTTTACAGATGAAAAGATCGAGCCTCACAGAAGGCACGTCACTTGTCCAGAGTCACAGAGCTAGAAAACACACACACTCTTCATTAGTGACGACGGCCTAGCCCGGCCCCATGCCGGCACTGAGGACCCAGGTGAATCAGACGTGGCCCCCGCCCTCGGAGGCTCCCAGTCTGGCGAGAGAGGCAGGCACACAGGGTGCGTGCGGGCCTTGGGGGGAAGGGAGTGGAGGGCTCGACCTGGGCCAGCGGCAGCTTCTGAGCAGGTGTCCTGAGAGCTGGCACTGAGTGTCCCTAAGCAGACAAGGACAAATAGTGGCAGTGTGGGCAGCAGGAGGTGGGCAGGGAAGGGAAAACCTTTCATCCTGCTGAGTCAGGGGGACCTGCTGGCCCTGCTAAACATGGGGCCAGAGGGGCTGCGCACCATGGAGACCACGGGCAGCTCCCTCCAGGAAAAAACCACTCCCAGGTAGGGGCGGACTCGCAGGCATCCAGGCTGGGAGCTCGTCGTGCGTCAGGAGGCTGTGCAGCCCAGGGCCCGGGCAGCCTGAGCACGGACACCAGCCAAAAGCCATTCCCCAGCCCCCACGCTCATTAAAGATGTTTTTGTTACGCCTCCTACCATCAACAGGGATGCTGGCAAAGAGAAATGCTCCCTAGTGGGACATTCGAGACCAAGAAAATTAAAATGCTAAGCAGTGAGAGGCACCATGGTCACTGACGGAGCCTGTGAGGTGCCAGGCGCAGGGCCAGCTGTTTACTCCACCACCCTGACCCTCACAGCTATCTTTTGGGACAATACCACGCAAATCGCTGGCAGAGCCCACGCAGGGGCACCGTAAGGGAGGCAGGATTCGCACTCAGGGCTTCGGAACCTGGCACAGAGTCAGGAACCCAGCAAGGGCTTGATACTGGCTGGTCCCTTTCCCCACTGCCCCCTTACTGCCCTTTCCAGTCAACTCTGTGCCCTTCCTAAGTATCAACTCCCAGGCCGGCCTCTGCCCTGACCCCCAGCATTACTCCTGCTTCACTCTCAGGACAGGGAGTTGTATCAAAAGTGGGGCCCCTGCAGATGGGGGTATCATCCCCACTACACAGATGGGAAGGCTGAGGTCCACAGAGAAGCAAGGAGCTACCCAAGGGCACAGAGCGATGGGGAGTCCAAAGCCGAGAACACTGGCCTGGCCACCACACACTCGTCATCTCCGCGCTCTGAAAGCCCTGGACTGCATGGGGATGGGGGAGGGGCGGGGCGGGGAGACAGGGGACAGGGACCGAGGAGGGGGAAGAAGAGCCCTCACAGAGCACTGGGAGGCCTGCTGGGGCAGCAGGATCATTAGCCAAACCCAGGGCTTGGCTCTGAGTCCCTGTGGCTCAAGGAGTATCTAATAAGGCTCCAGGGCCTCGAGATCCAGAGGCAGGGATCCCCATGGGCCTCATTCCCCTTCTGCATCATGGCCATTGGACCGGGCACAGGGTGGACCCCAAGCCAGGCTTCTCACCCCTCAGCCCTCTGCTGCCTGCTGGGGTGCCAAGCAAGGGGGAAGAGCGCTCCGGGGGCACACGGGCTCGACTCCTTCCAAACAAGCAGGTCATGCCGGCAGTCAAGGAACCAAAGCCCCGGGGGCCCTATCAGAGGATTCAGAACCAAGGTGAAGAGGCTCCCAAAGGCCAGAGACAGGCCAATCTGAGCAGCGATAAGGATAACAACTTCCGTGCATGAAGACACGTCAAATACATTCCCGTCCAGGAGATCACGGTGCAGTTAGTCACTACTGGGGGATGGCAGGGAATCAACTCATGTTTTTGAAACTGGAAAATGAAGGGAAAGAATGGAAGATTTATCCTGCCTTTTCCACACAAACTGTACCCGAGGGTAACCACAGCAGTGAAGGGAGGTTTATATCTGGAGGCGAATTCCAGCTAAGAAATGAGAGCATCAGACTCCCACTATTTTGCAACCACTGACAAATAATGGATTTATGAAATCGTAGCTTCTAACATCACAGAAGAGAGCCAGCCAGACATTACGTCCCTCCTGAGAGAACATCGCCCACAATTAAGGCCCGAGCCCAATGGAGCCTCGAGAGCTAAGTCTTAGCTCACAGGAAATACGGGGCGCTGAGAACACTCTGGATGAAACAAAGCCAGCAGAGTCCAGAGAGAGGAGCCCCCCTTATCCGCGCAGGACACATCCCAAGACCCTCAGTGGATGTCTGAAACCGCAGATAGTACCAAACCCTTATGTACTGCTTTTTCCTATACATACATACCTATGATAAAGCTTAATGTATAAATCAGGCACAGTAAGACATTTAGTATAAGTTTGTATTTAGTAAATATAAGCTATATTTTCCTGTATAATCTTTTGCCTGTACGTGCATACCTATGGTGAAGTTCCATTTGTAAACCAGGCAAAGGAGAGACAAGCTTTGATACTGTGACAGTGGGTCTGATCATGGAGACGGTTGCTAAGTGACTAATGGACGGGTAGCTCACACAGCCTGGGTACACTGGACAAGGGGATGAGTTACGTCCTGGTGGGATGGAGCTGGGCTACAGGAGATTTCATCTTGCTACTCAGAACAATGCACAATTTAAAACTTATGAATTGTTTATTTCTGGAATTTTCCATTTAATATTTTCAGACCACGGTTGACCATGGGTATCTGAAACTGCAAAAAGCAAAACCACAGATAAGGAGGGACGACCGCAGTTGGAAACTGCACAGGACAACAGGTTTCTTCAGCAAATAAACTACAAGGAAAAAATTAAAAGATGAAGTAGAAGCAACCAATGGCAGTTATGGGCCTTGGTTTGGATCTCATTCAAACAAACTGTACAAGGCACATTTATAGCACAAATTGCAAACCAGAACATTTATTGGGTATTTGATGATATTAAAAAATTAGTGTAGCCTGGCCAGCGTAGCTCAATGGTTGAGCATCAACCCATGCACTAAGAGGTCGCTGGTTCGATTCCCGGTCAGGGCACATGCCCAGGTTGTGGGCCCGATCCCCAGTGGGGAGCATGCAGGAGGCGACCAGTCAGTGTTCTCTCTCATCGATGTTTCTATCTCTCCCTCCCTCTCTCTCTAAAATCAATAAAGAAAAAATAATTTTTTAAAATTAGTGTAAAATTATTTTAGTTGTGTTACAGCAGCCATGTCCGACCTTTTTCATCTCTTGGCACTCATAAACTACTAAAATTCTGCAGCACACCAAAAAAGGCGATTCATTCATATCAGACGGCTATTGTTGTGTTGGTGGTTGTCATCTTTTTATTTGACAATCTAAAACAAAGAGGTCTGCCCTGGCCGGTTTGGACTGCGGACCAGAGAGTCCCGGGTTCGGTTTCCGCTAGGGGCACGTACCACAAGAAAATAAAGATAAATAAATAAATAAAAATAATAATAAAAGAGGTCAGTGCCTAATACCTAAATAATCAGGTATTGCATGTTTTAAAAATTCTTGTGGCACACCGGTTGAAAGTTGCTGTGTTATGGTACTGTAGGGGTTTTTGTTTTGTTTTGATCGAGTCCTTACCATTCAGAAACGCATCAGAAGTATATGTTGCCTGGGGGGAGAGTGCAGAGGAAGGCGGTGGGCCGTGGGTAGACAACTGAAGCGGAGGGGTGGGGACAGGCAGCTCATGAGGCCGCCTCTCTTCATGTGTTGTCTAGAGCTGAAAGGCCCCATCGCCAGGGACACTGGTTGCCTGGCCGGGCATTCAGAGCCCTGTGGGGCGACTGTGCTGACTCCCTCGGCCTCACCCCTGAACTGCCTCCCTCGGGCCCCACAGAATCCACACCCTGTGAGGCATTCGTCCACCTCACGTGTGGCCGTGCATGTGTGGCTCCCTGCAGGCACCCACCCTGTTCCTTGACCCTCAGGGGCTAGCTGAGCTGCAGCTTGAGGGGCCTCCTGACCCCCACACTCCCCTTGGGCACCACTGGGCACCTCCTCCTCCGGCCCTCTCCCTGCTCACGAAGGGGAGCTCCTGGAGGGCAGGGCCATCTCCCGCCTGCCCAGCTCCCTGGCACCCAGAACCGGGCCTGACCCAACTCCAGGTCTTTCTGAGGACAATCCCCAAGCGCAGGCTCCCGCGAGGTCCTGGCTGACCGGTGACCTTGTACACACTAGTGGCCACCACATCACCAGCCGTGGTGCATGGCAGGGACTTATGTTTCAACCAGACCACCTTCCTAGTGTCCGCACCTGCCTACCCTTCCTCCAGGACTGTCGTGAGAACTGAGGTGGACCGTGGCCTTGGCGGTGCTGCATCCACTGTGGAGGGCTGTGCACACACGAGAGGGTGCCCCACTGGTGTGCGAGGTGCGGTGCACTCACATCACAACTCACAGACCTCCGGGTTGGGAGGGGGCTGAGGTGACCCATTCACCCCCCACGGCAGAAAGGAAAACCCCTACAACAGCCCCCTGTGCAGACGGGAAAAGCGAGGCTGGAGGGGTCGAGGCACTTACTTGGGCTGACCAGGCAGCGAGGTAAGGACTGTGTGGGATTTGGAACCCCACTCATACCCAGGGGACCCCGCTAACTGTCACTCACTGCGGAATCACTCAAACCTCCGGACCCACTAACCGGTGCACTGAGCGCCCCCTGGAGTCCTCGGCATCTGAAGCGCTCCCAGGGGGACTCCCCCCTAGATCCAAGTGGCTGGGGTCAATCCTGCTGGGGCAGGGGCTGACCTGGACTCTCCCAGGAGCGTGACAGCTCTGGGAAGGGCTCTGGGGTGGAGAACCGGGATGTGAGACCTGGCTGGGGGACCACTTCGAAGCAGGGGTTGTTTGCAAGCCAAAACCTCAAGTGAGGGCTCTGACCTTGGCCTCTGGGAAGACGCTAGCCTCGCCGACGAGACTGGGCATTCAGGTAGGGTGGAGGCATCGCTTCTGCCCACCCCAGGGCCCCGTGTCATGGAGTCAAAGGTCCACAGACCCAGAGCCTGGTCCACACACACACCCTCCAGCCCCTCCTCCGCCTCTGTGATTTGAAGCAGGCTGCTTCCCCTCTGGGCCCGTCTCTGTCCAATCTGAGTGCGCTAGCGATGACACGGGGACAGAGCTCTGAAGAAGGGTCAAGCGGGCACGAAGGTGACGTGGCAAAATCAGTCTTATCCAGCCAGCGGGACAGGGCGGAAAGGACTTCCCAGGAGCAGGCTGCTCCCTCCAGAGAGCTGAGGCTGGGACAGGGTCAGGAGCTGCCTGGACAGGCAGCAAACTGGTGACGGAGGCCGGGTGAAGCCTGGCCCGACTCCACCCCATCCCTTAGCTACTCCCCTGCCCGCCTGCGCCCACCCGCCCGCTGCCAGCTGAGCGCCTGTGGTGAACCCCACCACCCCTCGGGGCCCCACAGACGCCTGTGGTGAACCCCACCACCCCTCGGGGCCCACAGACGGAAGACCAGGTGGCTCCTCCGTGGTCTCAGTGCGGCTCTCTGCTCGCGCCACACAGAGACTGGTCTGGGGCCGCTGGAGAAAACTCCGTCAGGGGCGTTGGTTCCTGGATGGGTGTCAGGACACCTGGTTCTAAATTCCTCCCTGCTGTCTGACCTTGGGCCAGTCACTGACCACTCTGGGCTTCGTTTCAGAAGCAGCAGGAGGAGTTGGGGGTGTGGGAGAAAGCCTGGGGAGGGGTGCTCTGGGCTGAGGGGACCGGGCTCAGTCGCAGCTCCTGCAGGGGAGAGGTGGCTCCGGCGAGAGACTGCACACCAAGCCAGGGGCACACGGGCTTTATTGGGGCCACGGCGGGGGCGGGGTACAGGCGGTCAGTCTGCACAGACGGTCCCGAGCTGCAGCGAGAGGGTAAGCAAGGAACAGGGCCTGGCCTCCCCGGACGTCAGTGGGGCAGCGAGGAGGCAATGCCAGGCGTGAAGCTCATCCCGGAACAGGAAGGGGCTGCCAGTTAGAAAGGACCAGAGCCCACACCACAGCCAACCTCCCACCTAAAGACTCCGGACCCCCACACCTGCTCCTGCTTGCACACCTCCACAGTGGGCCCCCAACAGCAGCCCCGGGCAGGGGGTGGCTCCGACCCCCCATCTCTCGGGGCCCTGCGGCCCCCAGGGCTCTGCTTTGTGAGGGAAATGCCAGGGGCATGTCCCTGACGAAAACCAGGCTAGCCTTGAGGCCGGGTGTTGAGGTTACTTCCTGAGGTGCCCTCAGCTGACGCCAGGCAGGTCAGGCCCCTCCTTCAAAGGGGGCTCACTCGGCCTGTGCAGTGTGGAGGGGACTGAGGCTTGGGGAGCAGAACTGCACCCGCTGATGAGCTTGTCCGTCTCCTCTGAGGCCAGTTCTCCCATCGCAGCACACGGCCCCCTCCAGCCCACCTCTGCCCATCAGCCATCATGACGGCCCTGCCCTGCCGCCCCACCCCCAGCTCCTAAAGATGCAGAGACGCCACACAGCAGCGACACTCCCCTTCTCTGACCAATGAGCAGGAAACCTGGCGCCCAGCAGGGGACACCTGAGGCCCCAGAGAACCCACTGCCCCAGCTCCAGGGCTCTGGGCCCCTCACCCACCTCCCCCAGACAGAAGGAAACCCCTATACTACACTGTTCCCACTTCACTGTGTGAACCCCCGAGCCGCCTGCTCAGGAAGCCCCTCCCCAAGGTCATCCTGACCAAACCCCTGCTAAGGGCCACTGGTGAACCAGCTGGGCAATTATGTAACAGATCATCTAAAATCAGGTTTGTCCACAGGCAGGCAGAGACTCCAAAATACATCCATATGAATATAGCATGCGCTCTCTCAATATGTATGTACATGTACAGAGACAGATAGACACATCTCTGTGACACTTGTACGTCCCCCCTTACTTCTCCGCTCCTGAAGTCACTCTCAGAGGAGCAGGAGTCGGCCTGCCCAGCCTCCAGCGAGCCAGCCCCTCCTCACTGCCCCGACCAGTGCCCGCAGCCACGCTGCCCGATGTGCGGAGGGCCCCGAGGCCCTGTGGGACCGCACCAGGCCCACGCCAGGAGCAGGAGGTGGCCGTCAGGCGGCAGATGCCTCTGCTGGATTCCCCAAGGAGGCTGCTCTGCCGTCTCCATCTCCCCATCTCCAGAGGAAGCCCGATGGCTGGTTCTTTGGATCTCTGTCTGTCTGTCTGTCTATGTCTGTCTCTCTCTGGGTCTCCTTCAGCCTCTCTCCCGGCAGCGAGGCACAGAGAAGGCAGATGCCCACGGACCCTCCATCGGCCCCACTCGCCCCGACCTGGTCTCTACAGCAGCAGCAGCAGCAGCAGCAGCAGCAGCAGCAGCAGCCGGTTCGGCTTCTAGACTACAGACTTCGCATCTCCTCCCCGAGCTGGGGCGCCAGCACCAGGGGAAAGGGAGGAGGAAGAGCACAGGCCAGCAACTAGAGAAATGTCCCCAAATACACACCCGGGGGCAGGGGGCAGAGGCAGGGGACAGGGAAGGTGGGCGAGAGGAGGGGGCAGCAGTGGGCAGCTGCCATCAGAACTGGTTGAAGACCACGGAGGCCTTGAGGTCGGTGGGCTCCACGCCCTCGCCGAAGGTGATGAGGAAGTACATGACCTTGCGGATCTTGGCCAGTTCCGACAGGCGCTCCCCAAACTCCAGGGCGTCGGCCTCGTTCCAGTCCACGGCATCCGAGTCCTCCTTGCGCCAGAAGATGGCAGCGGGGTCCAGCAGCTGGCGCGTCATGAGGTTGGTGAGGTCAGGCGTCCAGTTCTGGGAGGTGCCCGTGATGGTGACCTTGCCCGGCTTGCTCAGCACCACGTCCCAGCGCTCGAACTGCAGCTTCTGCTGCTGGGTGAAGTCGAGGCGGTACACGGACTCGGCCGGCCGCAGCAGCTTCTCGCCGTCCTGGCGCTTCTCCCCACGGTGCTTCAGGCTCTCCACGCGCAGCCGCATCTGCTTGGTCAGCGCCTCGTCCAGGACCAGTGGCATGCTAAGCTGTGGCTGCTTCGGCCCGTCCTCTGCCATGGCCCGGGTGCTGCTGCCGCCGCTGCCGCCGTCCAGGAAGCGAATGGGCTGGGGCCTCGCTGCCAAAGCCGCCACAGGGGGCCCCGCCTACCCTTCCACCCTCCCCTCTTGGCCACTGGCCCTTCCCAGCTCCACCCAGTCCTCAAAACAGGGTGTGTATGAGGGTGGGAGTCCCCAAATGCCTCCTCTCCACTCCTCGAAGAAGCTGGTAATGGAGGCACTGCGGGCAGGCGGGAGGGTGACAGGCTCCTCGGGGACCAGATCGCTGATGTCAATTGCTGTGGCAACCACCCTGACTACTGCGGATGGGCTGGGAGCTGGCCTGTTTGTGAAGATGCGAGGGAGTGGGGAGCAGGTGCTCACTGGAGGCATGCAAGGAGCCTGGAAGACCCCCTGGCAGGAGGGCGGGGGGACAAGGACCAGAGGGGCCCGCTGATTGGAGATCTGAAGTTACCCCAGCCAGTCCCAGGAGCCATCCTTGACTCAGCATACCCCTCACCCTCCAACCCAATCACCAAGGCCTGCCAATTCTGCCTCCAGGCCCCACTGCCAGGGCCCTAGCCCAGCACCACCGTCTGTCACCTACACCCGTGTCCTCAAACTTCACTGGGCGTCAGGACCACTGACAGGACCTGAAACACGACTGCTGGGCCACACCCCCAGAGTTTCTGATTTAATAGATCTCTGATGAGGCCTGGGAACTTGCATTTCTCCCAGGTGCTGCTGCTGGTGCAGGGACTGTGCTGGGAGAATCGCTGACCTAGATGATTCTTGTCTGTGGGCCCAGCCTCAACCCTGCACCACATGGCAGCCACATGCCCAGGTTTCTCTCCTACTAGAAGCTCACCTCTTATTCCACCGGTATCGATCCTCAGTTTCTCCCAGGAGGCTTGAGGCAGAGAAAGAATCATACGGACATACTAATCTCTGGGACACAGCAGTAGTATGAATGGATGGGGTGGGAAAGGCTGGGAAACCAGAGGTACCAAGGCCTTGGTGCCTGCGTGGCAGGCCATGGTTGCTGGTTGGCACAGCAATAAGGTGGGTTTACACTGAGGGCAGAGCATGCCCACCCTCTCTGAGCCCGCAGGACATGGGGGGAGGTGTTACAGACCTGCACAGGCTGAGGTGGGAGGGGTTGCCAGGACCTGAACCTCACAGACACACAGGGAAGGCGAGAGGGGCAGCGAGAGCCAGGAAAAGCCAGAAAGGACAGAGGTAAGACGGGAGGCTGGATGGTGTGGGTGGGGCTGGGCCCACTACTGCCCACAGGCCTCGCTCAGCCACCAAGAGGCCTGGAGAGGACCCCCCACTGGTGGACGTAGAGATGACAGAGGGAAAAGAAGCCCCAGACTTGCCTGCGTGATTGCAAAACTGTGTACTTAAAACCAAAACACCTCTTAAACTCCAAATAGAAAAAAGACTGAAAAGAAATATAGAAAACCTTAACACTGGTTGTTTCTGGGTAAAGAAAACCTCAGTAACTTTGTACTTTTTCAAATCTTCTGTCCCCAGTACCTGGAATGGTGCTGGGGCATAGCTGGAGCTCAGTTAGCTGTGGTGAGTGAACTGCTACAGGGCGTGACCGCTCAGAGGACAGGGGCGGTGGGGTGGGAAACCTTTACATGGAACCGAAAGACAGCCCTGCGCCACGTGCTGTGCCCTGCCCTAGGCCTCCTGCCCCCCACACTCCCTCTCAGACACCCGGGCACTCCACCGGGACTCTGCTCTCCTTCTGCTTCCTGTGGCCAGGGGCACAGCTGACTGCCCCTGGGCCTGGCACCCCATGGCTTGGAGTAGGGATCAGACCCGCCTTCATGCCAGGGGCTTTGCCAGGCTCTGGGAGAGGTGAGACCCCCCAGCCCCACCTTGGACCAGGCCAGGCCTGATGGCACATCCTCCACCCACTGTCACATCCTGATTCTGGTTCCCCCAAGTCCATGCCCTGCCCTCAGGAACTGGATGGTCAATTTGGGGAGGACATAAAGCCTCCACAAAGGACCCCATACTGGGGGAGGCCCGCTGCCAAGGGGTGTCTGGCAGAACAGAGAAATAGGTGAGAGCCCAGAGGAAGGACAGGGAAGGGGTTTAATACATGCACATTGCCCCTCGGGCCATGGGCTTGCCCCCCCACACACACACACATACACAGGCTCCTTTAATTCTCCCACAACCCTGAGGACTGGAAAGGACAGGTTTACACTGAGGCCAAGAGAAGGAACATGACTTGCCCAAGGTCACATGACTAGCAAGAGACCCAGTCAGAGTGAAACCCGGGTCTGGCTGGCTTCCAATCATCGGCCCCAGGTTCCGTGGAGAACTGAGGTAACAGACTGGCTTCCTGGAGAAGGGGGCATGCGTATTGAGGGCATAATATGCCCACATCTGAGGCTCAGCATCCTCAGAATGAGGTGGGTGGGAGAAGTGTGGGTGCAGGTCAGGCTGAGCAGCACCCCCCATCCCATGAAGAAAGCAGGATGGGGTAAGGGAGGCCCTGCAGGGCCACAGGCCCAGAGGTGAGGGGTGACAACAAACAGGGCCCGTCAGCAGGGACAGGGAGGGAGGCAAAGCACAGTAATGAGCTCCCCAGGGCCTCGACGTTCCTTCCAGGACCCAGGGGCTGTCACCACAGCAGTACCAGAAGGCGGAGTGCAATTAGCCCAGAGCACCCCGCCCTGCTGCCGCCTCCCGGGGACACGAGGTCCTGGAGATCAGCCTCCCGGCCCTCGGAGCCTCCAGCCAGGCCCGGTGCCCAACATCTGCAGGAGGAACCTCCAGCCCTGAGACAAACACAGGCCTGCCAAGGTCACCCAGCCTCGGTGACAGGCCTCCCCTGCAGGTTCTGGGCCCCGCTACCCACCCCTCACATGAGCAGCTGCACAAGAGCCAGGGCAGGAGCAAGCTGAGGCTCCTCCCTACACATGCCCAGAGAGCCCACTCCCCAGGAGAGACCACGGCAGGTCTGGCTCCGTCCCACTGAAGGACCTACGGCAGCAAGGACAGCTGCGGGGCTGCTGGCCAGTAGCTGGATCCAACAATACAGGGCGGGGGGTGGGGGGTGAGGCCAGCACTACAGGACGCCTGGGGCCACCTCCGTCCTTGGACTGAGCCCTGACTGAGCTAAGGGGGGGCTCAGAGGATGGGGACTTTGTTCTGGGCTCAGAAAAGGTGGTTGGAGCCCCGAGGACAGGCCTACACCCAGAGAACAGTCCCAGGGCCCAACCCGCTCTAGGCCTTGAGGCCCACAAGTGCAATAAGCCCACATGTGGCTCTCTGGGGCCCTCCCACCTAGGACACCCATGTTTGTGGGCTGCCACAGTGGCCTTTGCAAGGGCCCTACGGCCACAGCGATCCTTCCCCCAGGACCATCAGGGCCAGGTCCCAGGGATGCCCAACCTGGGTTGGTTTTGAGAAGCCACACTCCATACAGAAGACATGACAGCAGGACCTCACCACAGTCCCAGCCTCAGCGGAAGGACAGCTCCCTCTGATGGCTGAGGGGCACCTCAGAGGGTGGGAACAAACTCACTCTGCTGCTTGTGCCCTGCGTCCGTAAGAAACCCATACAACTATGAGTATTAACTATCATGACACTGGCACCCGACCGCCATTCACAGAGCACCTTTACCCTCACACCTTCCCAAGAGAGAGCTGCCTGATATCCTGATATCCTGAGGAGGATATTTATACAGCTACCCAATGGTGAGCCCGAGGCTTGCCCCTGAACTCGTAAGACAGATGCCCAGTGCTCTTAAGCCCTGCTGCTCGCCCCCACAGGAAGAGCAGAAAGAGCAGGGATGAGAAACAGGCAGTGACTTGTATTTGCTGGCATGGGAACCCCGAATGCAATCAATCCCTGTTGATGATTCTTCCGGAGCACAAGTCCAGCCTCTATTGCAGCCTCCCCGCCTCCCCGGGAGAAGAGGCTGTCTGATTTAAGGGATGCACTACCGATTGCTGCCACAAGAGGGCGAAGCATTAGGACCAGCACCCACTGAACAAGTGAGAATTTTAAAGCCCAGAGAAGAACAAGGATTGGCCATGTCACACAGCAGGTACTGGCAGGGGTCTCCTGAGCCCCCGTTAGTGCTCTCTCCACAATACACACGATTCAGGCAGCTTCCACATTTCTCAAGTACATATTCTGCCAAATGGCTCCAGAGATACTGTGGCCCCCACAGAGGGGAGGAAACACATCAGAATCCCTGTGGGAGCTACACAGATTCCCAGCAGCCTCAGGGCTTAGACTGGGAGGTAAGGGGTAGGTGATTCTAAATCTCAGCCGATGCTAGAGCCCTGGTGTCACCCCACCGCACCCCCTGCACAGGCTGCACCACCCCCTGTAGGGCAGTGAGGACCGAAGGCTGGACTCACAGCCCCCAGCAGCCCCCACCCCAGCCCAGGCCTCACCTTCTGCCACAGCGACTCTCGGGAGGCAAGCGATGAGCAGGCTGCCACAAACCAGCAGTTCCCCACCTGGCCCTGGTGCAGGTCGTGGGAGCTGATGCCGTCCACAAAGAGGTGGGGGTCCTCGCAGATGTCCTGTGGAGAAGAGGAGACCTCACGGTCAGTGTAGGGATTCGCCTGTCTCCCCTTGAAACAGGGCCCCGTGTGCCAGTCGGTTCCCCAAACCAGCTTGCCCAGGTGCTGCCCGGGAGGCCCTTCTCCCTCCCTGGACCGAGGAACTCTGCTCTCCGGCCAAAGGTTCCACGCTGAATGAAGACTTGAAGGGCTTCAGGGCTGGATGCGGGGCCACCACTGTTCTCCTGCCCTGTGTCTCCCTTGACCAGCACATCCTTCTCCACACCAGCAGCCCTCAGGGGCCCACGGTCATGAAGCGGGGTGAGGGCACCGTGACGAGTGCAGAGGGCGGGAGGAGTGGGGGGCCGACGCACCATCCCCGCGTGGACACATGCTCAGGCTTCCGTCTGACCGTCACTCTGCCTGAGGAGTGTGACACTGTCATTCCATTTTATAGATGAGGAATGAAGGTTCAGAGAGGGGCAGCGGCGTGTCAAAGGCACACAGCAAGCACATGCCGAACAGAGCTGAGCAGACACCCACAGAGTGCCCACCCCCGGCCCGTCCTCCTCACCGGTCAGCATCTCCACCCCCACAGAGCTCAAAGGGAGTGCATGCTCCCCGAGGGGGGCTGGCTACAGTGGGCGGTGGGGAAGGTAGACACTAAGACATACCTTCCTAGCGCCAGGCACCTTGTTGGTACTACGATCAATCCTCACCGCAGTGCTCAGAAGTGGGCACTGTGCTCATTTCACAGAGGCGCAAACCGAGGCCCAGAGAGGTGGAATAATGCCCCACCACACAGCACGGACCTGTCTCCACTGCAGCGGTGCTCCCGGGCAAGTTCAATCACAGCGGAGCTACTGAGGGCCTACGGAAGGCAGCCGGCAGAGGGCTCCACAGCCGGGAAGTCAGAATTCAAATTCCCGCTCCCCACTTACTATTGGCTATGCAACCTTGGGCCAGGGGCTCGACCTCCCTGAGCTCGTTTCCTGTCCTGTGCAAAGGAGGCAGATTCTTACCCCTGCAGGGCTGTGGAAGGACTCCACAGGTCACGGAGGTACCGCACCTGCGGGGGAAAATGGGGCGAAGGACTACCCCTTCTCACTAAGGTGTTTGGGACCCCGCCGCCACCTCCGCCTGGGAGAACCAGTGTTTGGGAGGGCCAGAACCCCCCAGGATATGAGTGGCTCCAGATGGGACTCCAGAGTGACAAGTTCAGGGCCAAGCACAGACTACAGGAATGTTTTCACAGAAACCCAGCAGGCAGCTTCCCGGAAGTCTCGTCTCCCTCCCTGCTGCCCTCCTTATCTATCTCCCAGCCCCGCATTCTGGGCCAGGGAGAGCCAGGACTTAGCCTCTCCCCCAGGGTCCAGAAGGACCAGCAGGACAGGACGAGGGGGCTTCATATCCGCAGGACCACAGCCACAGCCCACCTCGGGAAGAGACAGCTACAGCCTGGCGTCACCAGGGTCTGCAGCAGAGGTGACCTCCAAGGCACTCCCCTCCCCTCCGATCCTCTCAGCCAGGGCCCTGGACGGAGACACAGCTGCCCACTCCACAGAGGAGGAGACAATGACGCCTAAGGTCATGAGCCAAAGTGGACCGATGGGACCGAACTCAGGTCTGCTGGGCTCTGAACCACAGCTCTCCTCCCCACAAAGCAGCAACAATTTCAGCCCGGCCCTGCCACCCGGAACAGGGCTTTGGCTCCAGACATTTCTGGAGAGAGAGAGAGAGAGAGAGAGAGAGAGAGAGAGAGAGAGAGCGCGCGCGCGCGAGCCTGAGCTCAGGAGTGGGAGGAGGCCTGGGTTCCAGGCCCAGCATTGGCGTGACTCGTGACTCGCTGTAGCAGAAAAGGGACCTCAGGCAAACCCACAAGCCTGGGAGGGAGCGGCAGGAGGGGGCGGTCTGGACGTGTTCCCACTGCCAGGAGAGGCTCAGGCTCGCCAGGACAACCTCGAGAAACCGCTGGAGGATGGTGGCGCCTGGAATCTGTTCGGAGCCCACAGGGCAGCCTGGATGGACCGATCACAGAAGAAGCTGACAAAGACTCAGAACCTGCTGTGTGCCCCACACTGTGCGAAACAAGCCGTGAGTCAGGCACCATTAGCACCCCACTCTGCAGATGAGGAAATCAGCGCACAGAGAAGTGAACTGAGCCCTGGCCGATTTGGCTCAGCGGTTAGAGCGTCGGCCTGTGGACCAGAGAGGCCTGGGTTCGTTCCGCTAAGGGCATGTACCTCGGTTGCAGTTTGTCCCCGGCCCTGGTTGGGTTGTGTGGGTGGCAACCACTCGATGTGTCCCTTTCACGTCGATGTTTCTCTCTCTCTCTCCCACTCCCCCCCCCCCCACTCTATCTGAACAAAATATGGAAATGTCCTCAGGTGAGGATTAAAAAAAAAAAGAAGTGAACTGAGATCAAACCCCAGCAGTCAGCTCCAGAGTCTCCAGGTGGGCTAGGACTTACGAGTGACAAAGCCACCCTTCCTTCACTCACCCGCTGGACCAGCTCAGGGGGTCTCACTATATAATAATGAGACCAAGGGGCCAGGGGCAGCCCACACCCTCGTCCTCACCACCACAGGGCCAGGCTTCTCGAGGCCAGTGTGTCCTTCCATCTGCCCTGGGCCATCAGCGAGGCACAGAGCACAGCTAGACAGGGAGCTCCCAGCCCATAGGCAGGGCCCCTGAGGAGGAGCAACCAGACTATCACCCTCCAGTGAGCACAGCCGTGACAGTGGAGCCCAGAGAGATCAGAGGGGGCGTCCCCCCCGCACAGCAGGCATGGAGAGCACTGGTAGGCAGGGAGGCTCCAGGGGGGAATGAGGACTTCAAATCCCCCGAGACACAGTGTGCCACAGCCTCAAGAAAGCTCCCACCTTTGTCACCATCCTCCCCCAGCGCCCAGCCACCCGTGTTCCCTTGCGTCGCTGGGGCTCAGGCAGGAGCCCTGGGAGGGGGGGCAAAGCGGCACGCAGGACTGGACGGGCAGGCACATGCTGTGAGCCCTGGGCCATGAACCCTGGGCCAGGCCATCCCTGGCTCCTCTGGTCAACACACCTCTCTCTGGGGCACAGCCTTCTGCACCTGCGGTGACCGCTCAGCCCCTCCCAGCGTGTTAGACCAGTTCCACCACTGCCCGGCATAACAAGAACTTCAGGTTTCCAGGCCCGGTGTACACACAGGAATGCCGCAGACAGCGGATCCGGGGCGCCTGCTAGCCCTCCTTCCTTCCCCCCTCCTCACCCATCCACCTCACCCAGCCGCCTCCCTCCTAGAATCCGAAATCAGGAATCTACCAGACAAGTGGGCAACAGGCTGGCGAAGGAAGCAGCCCCACTCCCTGGCACAGGAAACCAGGGCAGTGTTCTCAGGGGTTATAGTTTGCCCCCCCCCACCCCTCCAACAGACTTGCCTGCACACCCCATGCTCCCCACAGCAACCCCATGAGCACAGGCCATGAAGGGGATCATTTCTGGGCAGGGCGGAGCCCAGGCAGCTGGCCTCGGTGCAAACTGCCTGTTTCATGGCATAAAGGGGCTACTGTCCGGCGCAGCCAAGGACGCGGCCTTCCCCAGGCGCTGGAATGATAAGCATGAGCCCTGGGCACCGGGCTGGGGGCCAGCAGGCCACCTGGGAAGAATTCTGGGAGATTCCCAAACTAACCTCCGTTTGTAGAACCCCTGCTGGTCCCTTCTTGGTGCCACCAAGGGACCTGCAGGCTTACCTCCAGAGATGGGGGAGGCAGAGTGCTGGGTGGGGGGTGGGATGAGAAGGGGCCCCTACGCAAGGCTCTGGGCCTGAGCGAGAAGGAAGTACACACACCCCTTTACATGGGATCAGCCGAGTCACAGCCTTGCTGACGTCCCCCTCTCCCCTCATCTCCCTGACCTGGCCTGTGGGGAGGGGCCAGCAGGTGTTCACTGAACTGGAAGGAACAGAGAAACAATGAACCCGGGAGGCGGAGGCGGTGGGCCCCAGGCAGGTGCCCTGGGCGGGGACTGGGGAGGATGAGGCCTGGCCCACATGCAGAGTCCATTAGAGATGGGGCCTCCCAGGCGGGGACAGCACTGGGTCCTCAACACGGTCGGCAGGTGGGTGAGAGAGGAGCGCCTGTCCTCTGCCTGCCACGTGCCTGACACCACAGATGCCTCAAGTCATTTCAACCTCCAGAAATCATGATCGCTGAGAAGTATTCCCCCCATTTACAGATGAGGCAACTGAGGCCCGAGGAGGGGAAGTGACTTGCTCAAGGTCACACCTCCCATAAGGCCAAGTCCCTCTGGCCAAAAACCAGCCACTTCATTCCACTCTGGGGGAAGGAAGAGGGAGGCTGGCAGGCAGGGAGCCCGGCTGAGGTGCTCCCCCAGGAACACAGGCCACCTACAGAGGAGCGGGAGGTGGGTGGTGGGCCCCCCCGGGCTGCCGTGTTTGTAAACAGCCGGGTCATAGGACTCGGGAAGTGGGATTCCACAGAAATGTGGCCGGCAGCGCAGTGAAAGTCCCAGCTCCTGGCCAAGGGCCAAGCAGCTGGGAGCTAGTGGTCACCCTGCTGGGCCGGTCTCTCCACACCCGCAGGAGATAAGTCTGGCCCAGCTTCCTGCTCCACCAACCCCCACCCCGTCCTGTCAGTGGAGGGGGGCCACACCGCCCTGCCCCCACCCAGTAGGCACTGCTGACACGCGCCAGCCCACCGCACCCTGGCCCACATGGTCTCCCCTCCCCCACACCACTCAGCCATGCCTCCCAGCCGGAACTGACGCCACCGCCGCCCCTGGGCCCCACTCAGATGCCTCCCTCTCAGCGCCAGCCACCCCACGCCAGCTGTCACCAGGCTGCAGCCCCGGGGCAGGGGCAGCTCTGCTCCTTCTCCTTCGGTGTCTACATAGGACCAGGCACCCGGCCCAGTGAGGAAGGTAGCGAAGGAGAAGGCAGAGTGGCCGGGAAGGAAAGAGGCCCAGAGAGGGCAGATGACTCCTCCAGGGTCACACAGCCGGGGGATGCTGAGCCCACCAGTGTGGCGTTTCCTCCTCTCAGGGCCCCGAGCCCAAACTTCCCCAGGCAGGCCTCACCGGCCTCCTTCACAGCCATGGACCCACAGTGTCAGGGTGACAGCAGGAGGGCAGAAAAGGGGTGGAGTGAGAGGAGGCAAAGAGCTCCAGTGTCCCCCTCCTCCTCTCCCCCACGGCCTCACAGAGGCCCTTTGAGCCTGGCTTCCTTCCCCACCACCGACAACGACAACGGGCAGAGAGAGCCATGGGAAAGTGGGGTAGCCCCGGAGGCAGGGATCATCGGCCCAGCCAGGAGGCTGCTGGGAGTTCTGGAGAACCAAGGCAGGGGCCAGCGGTCCCAGTACGGCTCAGGGGCAGGTCAAAGGCAGCAGGGACCCTTTATCTGTTGTCAGGGAGGGGGGTCAGGGGGCGCAGGACTCCTGGGTCCTGCCCGCTCTGCTGCTGGCTCACTGGGCAATCCAGCCCCCACCTCCCCCTCGCAGCTGTTCCTCTCCCTTACTCAGTCTAAGAAGACACACAGGATCTTTTGAGTTAGAACGGACTGGACCATAGCCTAGGAGAGGAACATGAAGACTAAATTTCATTTTCCCAAAATGTCCAGGTGGTCAGAGTGAACTTTCTAATGCTGACCTGACCGGCACACCCTGCTGGAAGCCTGGCCTCCCAGGGCCCTGCGGCCTCAGAGCGCCCCAGCCCTGCCCACCTGCCCAGCGGGGACAGCCTGCCCTTCCTGCACCCCCTCCTCAAGCCTGCCAGCGGCACCGCCATGTCCCAAACCCAACGGAGGCTGCAAGCCCTGGTGTGGTCACACTGCGCCTTCAGCCTGCGCGACGCTTCCTGGCAAACGCCTTCTGTGACTATTGGACAGCGAAGTCTCCGCCTGGCCCCAGGCACTCGGGTCCAGCTCATTCTCCTGCATGAACGCCCTCCTGTGTGACCAGCTCTGTGTCACCTGGGGCCGTGACCTCCAGCAGCCCCCCCATCACCTAGGTCCCCAAGGGCATGCACTCTCAGACCCGGGAATCGAGGTTAAAGAGGGTGAAGTCAAGCCATGAGGCCAACCACTCCATTAAACACATTCTAGCCTCGGCGACCAAGGCAGGACAGGGGAGCAGCCAGCCAGATGCTCCATCAGTGGCCATTCCCAAGGGTGACGGTAACAGCTGCCGGTGCTGGGTGCCAGGCTCCAAGCCAGACTTCCATGCATCATCTCTTTTACTGCTCACAACAACCCTATGAGGTACTATTATTTTTTACTACTGTTATTATTGATTAATCATCGTAATAAGTACTTTTCATTTACAGCAAATGACTATTTCAAAATCATTATGAATATAATCAGCAAAGTAAACTCCTTGTACTTGAACATCACTAAATAGAACGTAAATGACACTTACGCTTGCTTGAATGTCACTAAAAAAGGTCACATCTACATCACCTCATTTTTATCCCAGAAACGACCCTGGCAAGGTGACGGGGCAGAGGGCTCCGTTTTCCCTATAAGGCAGCTGAGGCCCAGAGAGGGGGCGAGTCCTGGGTGGGCAGTGGGGATTAAGGCCCATCCTCCTGGCTCTCCCCTCCCCCCCAACCAGATCAAACCCCACAGCAGGAGGGCGCAGCCTCAGCCCCTCCACTTTCTCAGCCCCCTGGGGCCTCTGGAGGACTCTCCCACCACCCACTGTCCCCTGCAGACTGGGTGGGTCTGAGCCTGCTGCCTCTGCTCCAGCTCAGACCAGACACTGACCTTGGGCCGCTTCCATCTGACGTTGGGCCCCGGGACGCCCTTATAGTACAGCGAGTCGTCGGTGGCTGGGAAGTTGGGGTCCTCAAAGAGCACCTTCCTGCGCAGACAGGCCCGCTTCAGGGCTGAGTAGTTCTGGTCTCCGTAGGGCTTCACGCACGAGAACATGGTGGCCGCTGCCCAGGGAGGGGAGGCCAGAGCAAGTCAGCAGAGTGCTGTGTGGGTGCGTGGCGGCCCCAGGGGCAACTGGGAAGATAGAAGGACGGATCATTAGTTTGTGAGGGAGGGCTGGAGGCCCTGAGTCAGATGATCCGACCTGCCCCCTCCCTGCAGCCCTGTGAAGTGAGCACCCTCGTTCCCACTGGCCAGGAAAGAAGGCTCAGAGAGGGGGAGACCTGCCCAGGGTCACACAGCGGCACACACAGAGCAGGGGTGGGAGCTGACTGGCCTGCCTCCACAGTCTGAATGCTCTCATTTCTGATGCTCAGAGGTATGCCAGGCCGGCAGGCCCAGGGCACAACCAAGGGGAGCTCCGGGGTGCCAATCCCTATCCCCCCACACTTCCTTTGTTTCACCAGCCTTCCCTAGACCTCCCTGGCTGGTGTCACACCCACAGGAAAGCAGCGACATTGTCTCCAGGTCTCTGTTCTCTGGAGCCGCACCCCTAAGTCTAGAGTGGCCCAACTGTGCCCTGCGTGATGACCCGGGCCCCATCCAGCCATCACTCACGTTCATTCTCTCTTGCCTCCTTCTAGCAGTTCTGAGATGAATGTCTCCAGTGCCACAGGCACACTCTCATGGCTCCTTAATCCCAGTGACCTGACTGCTCGAAGACCCCGTCCCCGTCATGTGATCTCCCAGTCCCCAAAGCCAGACGCCCCCAGGACAGCCTCCCACACCACCCGGGGGCTCACACTCCTCAACAGCCTCTTCTGGGCCCTGACTGGCCCACTCCCAATGAGAACCCAGTCCCCTTACAGGAAACCATCCCAAACTCACTCCTCCTCTCCCCGACGCTCCCCAGACTCCCCAGCCCAGGGAGCAGGAAGCCCCAGAAGGCCAGGTGCATCTGGTGCGGCCCTCCACCACGCACAGCCGCGGGCACAGGAGGTCCGCACACGTCATCCTCCCTTCAGCCCCCGCAAGTCCAGGTGGGCCCAGCCAGCGCCCTGGACTCGAAGCCTGTGCCAGCCAGACACGAGGGACCCGGACTGGACCAACAAGGCAAGAAGGCCTCCGGGAGGGGACGGCAGGGGAGGAGGGACAGTCAGCAGGCCTGACACATCAGACGCCCTGACAGACGCCTGGACAGCCAGGCACGGAACTGACAGCCCCACGTGTCCCCATATCTCAGGCTCCATCTGGGCTGCCGGCAGAGCTCCACGCTCCCCTAGTCACTCATCCTGGACGCGCCCAGGGCAGCCCCGCAGCCTGCTTGGCACAGCTTCCAACGTCCCCCGCAGCCGCGGGAAGCCGAGGCCAGGTAGCTGGCTGCGGGGGCAAACGCGACTTTGAGAGCAAGGTCGACGTGGGCGCCAGTCCCAGCTGTACTACTCGCCTGCTGTGTGGCTTTAGTCACTCAACTCCTCTGAGTCCCAGTTTTATTACCTCCGCAATGAGAACAATATTGTAATCATCAATGGAAGATACAGTTAACCACAGGCCAAGGAGCCTGCCCAGTGGGCCAGAGGGAGGAAGGACGAGGAGGAAAGTGGACAAGCCACCTCTCGTTTCCGACTCAGCCTCCGTTCCTCTGGCACCTGCCAGGTGAGGACACCTGGCTCGAGGTCTGTGCGTGGCAAACGGTGCTGCGGGGCCTTTCACTGTCGCCATTTTTCAGACCAGAGGACTGAGGCTCAGTGGGGGAGGTGACTGGTCCACATTCCACGGCCGAGTCTGACTGAGAGCACACCCTCTGACTCTGGTGCCTGCACCCTGGCCTGGAGCCCCCACAGGCAGGAGGAAGGGCTGAGTGCCAGGCAGGGCAGGGCTCCCCGCACACACCCCCTGACTGAGCCGGCCTCCCAGGAAGGGAACAAGGGACCCGCAGGGAAGTGAGAAGCAGGAAGGAGAGGTGAGAATGGGCAGGGAGTGTGGGGCTTGATGGACAGAGGGGAGCGCAGGGAGGACCCATGGTTCCTGCTTGCCTGCTGGGGGGCTGAGAGCTGGCTTGTCCTCTGCGCTGGACCCGCAGTCACTTCACTTTCTGTCCCCACATCCTGCTGGGCCGCTTGCTCCATTGCTGTGTAACCTCGGGCCGGCCACTTAGCCTCTCTGGCCATCCCTCTGCCCAGGAAGGCGGATACCCCTGCCCCCTGCCACCCGCCCTTCCTGCCTTGGGGGCCTGGAGGAACGCGAGGGGAGCTGGGGAGCCGTCCAGGGCTCTGGCACGCGGCCACCAGGAGTCATTAGCACCGCGGCTTCCAGTTTCGCAGGGCCTCTCGGGAAGCACTTTAAGCTGCAAGAATTAGATCAAAGAAGCTGAAAGCAGGAGCCCAGAAATCAGCTCTAGCAATTCCAGTGTTCAGAGCCCAAAGGGCCCAGGGAGGGGAGCGAGCTGGCTGAGGTCACACAGCCAGGCTGCGGGAGAAGGGGGGTCTGGCGGCCCTCCAGCTGCTCAGCAGCCAGCACTGCTGGGAAGGTCTGCTCCTGGGGAGATCAGCAGGGAGGTGGGGGTGGGAGGGGAAGGCTCAGCTGCGCCAGGGCCCGGCAGAACCTGGGCCACGCCTGGCTGGCTGAGGGTCTGACCTAGTTCAGCCACCTCTCCTGCCTCACCGCTGCCAGCCAGGCTGACCCTGGCCTACTTATGCCAGCCTCTCTGGCCCCGGCCTTTGCACAGGCTGCACCTCATGCTGACTGCCCTCCTGCACCCTCCATTTGCCCCAGGGTCCTTTCCCATTCCAACCATTGAGTCAATACTCCCCTGGCGTCACAGAGTCACCAGCCTCCGAACTTCGCCCTCTCCCTGCAGTTCAGGCAGAAGCACAAAGGCCATGAATAAACCCGGAGTCAGGAAAGCCAGGCCTCCAGCGCTGGGACCTGAGCTAGGGGCCCTGGCACTGCCTGTCTTCTGATCACGTTTACTCTGTGTGTGTGAGCCACGCACTAACAGGACAGTCCGAGCTTCCCAGCGTTCCTTCCTGCTGCCCTCAGCCCTCCGTCCCTGCCCGTCTCACCCACCCCTGCCATTCTCCATCTGGGCTAAGTTCCAGTGCTGCGGGCTCTTCCCACTTCCCTAAAGCTGTCCACTCAGGGCCTCCGCACACACTGTTCCTTCCACACGTGCACAGCTGGAGGACCCCTGGTCACCTTGGAGACTCAGCCCAGGCACCTCCCACCCGCCCCCGACATTGCTCCTCCCCTCCGGCATCCTGGAACCCGGGACAAGGCTCATTACCTTACACCCCATCTTTGTATGACTTGTCCGCCTCTCCAGCCCAACCTCTGCGCCTCCGGGGCAGGGCCCCTGTCCAGCTCCTCTCTGGGTCCCCAGAGCCCACCAGTGGGCATGTTTAGTAAATGTGTGTTGAGTGAACCAGTACCTGTGGCACAGGAGGAATTCCTTCATGGCTGGGAAACATGGGCTCAGAGGGAGGCAGGGCCTCCGGGGGATCAGCTTTCCGCTTCGGAGCAGCACAGGCTCTCAGGTCTCCTGAAGACCAGGGCCCGCCCTTTCCCACTGGGCCAAGCCTCTCTCCTTCCCTCCCCTCCTGATGGCTGGGTGCTCTCGGGTGCGGCCCAGCCCCTCCCCAGTTTTGTTCCCCAGTGTCCCTCTAAGCAGTGCGATCTGGACAGGCCATGTGGCCTCTCTGGTCCGCACGGTCCTTGTCTGGAGGAAGAGATAACGTGCCAGGACCTCTGGGGGGGTCAAATGGGACGCCACCACATGGAACAGCATTTTGTACACTTGAACGCACCATGCCCCTGGGGGGAGGTCAATGCCATTGTCTGGGTACATCCACAAAGTTGCCAACTCCAGCCAGGAGAGTTACAAAACTTCTGAGTGTCAGTCCCCAACGAACTTCATGAATACAAGGCAAAACAAAAAATGTGGCCCTGGCCGGTTTGGCTCAGCGGTTAGAGCGTCCGCCTGCGGTCCGGAGAGGCCCGGGTTCGGTTCCCGCTAAGGGCATGTACCTCAGTTGCAGTTTGTCCCCGGCCCTGGTTGGTCGTGCGGGTGGCAGCCACTCGATGTGTCCCTTTCACATCGATGTTTCCCTCTCTCTCTTCCTCTCTCTCCCTCCCACTCTGTCTGTACAAAAAATGGAAAAATGTCCTCGGATGAGGATTAAAAAAAAAACACAAACAAACAAACAAAAAAACAAACAAACAAAAAAACCAAAAAATGTGTCATTACAGAGGTTTGAGCAAGACGGAAACAAAGGCCCAGCCCTAGGACTCAGGAGTCCTTTCGGAGATTCGGCCCTTTCCAGGCAGAGGGAACAGCTCAAGAAAAGGCTCACGCAGGAAAGTGCACAACAGCTCAGACCCAGGGTAGCACAGCGGGGCCCTGTGGACTGGGCACGGGCAACTGAGCTGGGTCAGAACAGGGCTTGCCAGGGAGCTCAGAGAACCCCAGCAGTCAGTCAGACCTGAGTTCAAGGGCAGCCACACCACTTAGAGCTGTGTGTCCTTGGGCAGGTCACTAACCCCTCTGAGCTGCTATCAGCCCCACCTGGTTCAGCTTCTAAAGGGGCAGGGTAAGAAAGTGGCACCTGCCATGGGCCTGCCCTGCAGGAGTCTGTCCACGCTTGGAGGCTGTGGCCTCCGCTGCTGCTCCCGGGATCTGCCGGAGGTGGTGGGGACAGACTGGGCAGAGGAAGGGCTCATCTTGCAGCAGGCCGCGCTGAGCCAGCCACAGGAGGGAGCTGACATCACTGAGTCTTCCCTGGACGCCGCAGCACAAAGCCAGGGAGAAACAGGAGAAAGAGTTGCAGTCCCGTTTTGTAGATGAGAACACCCAGGAGCGTGTCCAAAGTCTGCGGCTTGTTGGAGGTCTCTGCCCAGACCAGCCCCACCACATGGAGGTTTCCTCCGGGATCCCGCTGACATCCGACCCGCAGCCGCGTACGAAGCACTCGGGGTTCCTGAAAGCGCACCTTTCGCAGCCGTCTTCAAGTTTGCGGTAGAAGAATTTCAAGTCCCTGCAGCCCCAACCGCAATGATCACCAATGCTGGAATAGGAATAAATCCTGCCCAGACTGCTGGAAATGTTTTCTAAAGCATGGTTCAGACTGCGAATTATTCCTTACAGTTGTGTTGGAAGTTGTTAATATCTGCTACTTGGAAGATAGGATTACCCTTCAAAATAAACATTGGTACTGTTGTAAAACTAAAATCAGGCATTTAAAATCCTATGAAAACACCAATGGATGATGAAACAGTGAAAGGTGACTCTGTCCCTGCTTGTTATGCCCACGCTTCATGAGAAGAGGGGATGTTTATGCACAAAGACACGAACCATCTGCACAGAAAATACCGTCTTTCATTGCTTGCTCACCACATACACAGCAGTTCATTTGCAGTCAGTGGATTATCCAATGTGTTTTATTAGCGGAGGATGCTTCTGATAATTCTTTCTGAGAACATTTGGAAAATGTATTGCATCTCCCTATTTGTCTTTACATTAAAATTTTAAAAGGACTGTGGATCATACACGGCAGTTTGCATTACAGCATCTGACTTGCAGACTCAAAATTAGCTGAATTATTATTATTATTTTTTATCCTCACCCAAGGACATTTTTCCATTCTTTGTTCAGTGAGAGGGGGAAAGAGAGAGAGAGAAACATCAATGTGAAAGGGACACACCAAGTGGTTGCCACCCACACGACCCAACCAGGGCCGGGGACAAACTGCAACCGAGGTACATGACCTTAGCGGGAACCGAACCCGGGGCTCTCTGGAATGCAGGCCGATGCTCTACCGCTGAGCCAAACTGGTCAGGGCTGAATTCTTAATTATAGATTGTTTGTGATAGAGGACAGAGACCTATTAATGAATACTTAACTGTCTTAACTTGTTATCACATAGGTTTTTCTTTTATTTCAAGCTTCATGTGTTCATATAAATTTAGCCCATATGTGTATATATGTAAAATCAATATCCCACAACAAGGAGTTTTAACGATGATCTTGCAGAATCCAACACTTGTAACAGAAGGAACTGAAAACAAAGTAGAAGCTCCCTTTGCTGAGTTACGCG